TTGCCATTTCCTGAGGTCTTGACTTGTAGAGCATTCTAGACCATACTTGCGCACGCGCGTGGGATGGTAGAAATTGCTTACGCCTCATATCTTTGTTCAGGGAGCATCCCGAAGGAGCTAGGTGCTTTGAGTGCGCTGGACAGGCTTTGGCTCTACGGAAACGAGCTAACCGGTGAGGAGGAGAGTAGAGTTGGTGGATTTCTGTTGTTGAGAACACGTGTTGTCCGGGAGAAAGCGGCCTGGAAGTCGAATCCTTTATGAACTGGCGGCATTATTGTTTGACGGTTGTTTTTGGTCTACCATCGGCTTGGGGGTATTCGGGACAGTTCGCAATATTTACTTCCACAGGCATATGACCCGAATCCCACAAGGTAGCAGTTTGGGTGAGACCAGGAAACGTAAACGAAGAAAACTAAGCCACTTCACTGAGAGAGTGACAAACGGGCGGCAGAGTGAGAATGTGACCTCATGCGGAAGCAAAAGGGCCCCTCTAACGTGAGATGGATGTTGCAACGCTAATTGATATCAAAACCAAAGAGAGGGTCACAACAAATGCTCTCCCCGGGGATGGGAAAAACCTCTTCGTTTGCGGGAAAACCTCTTGGTTATGTTGGACGAATGACAGTCCAGCCTTGCGTACACCGTAAGACATATTCTAGGCAGAACAGACCACCCCATTCGCCTGTCGCTGCTTGCATGGACGCCGACAACGACGAATACTTCTTTACGAGCTGTTTCAGGGTGAATGCATGGAGCCCACACCAGATTTCACCCCGTTTTGTTTGCGTTTGGGTGTGTCTTGAATCCCATAAACAACCTGGACAGTGTAACATGCGAGGCAGAAAACTTGAAGTGACTGACCGGTCAATGGAAAATATCAATCGAAACGAGTTTTGGCCGGACGCGGTGAACTTGCTGCGTTTCCGTCGCGTACGTAATTAAGGGGATACGATATACGACTCATTCATGTTTTCTGCGCCATTTTCTGCTTGACAGCTCTCTGGGACCACACTCAAAACGCACAACATGTCGAAGAGGGAGGTAACAGAACGTTAGGTACGGTTACATTCAGGACGAGATGCAAAGCGGTGCCATCGGCACAGCCAGTGTTGGCCTGCGAGTAGACGGAACTGCATTGATCGTGATGGGCTTTGTTACTCCACACGCGAACGAGTGTACATCGTGCCGGTAGTCCATAGGAGTAAGCTCTATGTTGTGAGACATGAAAAGAAGAACAGATCAACGGTGCACCGTATTTTGGCATTCCCATCCCATAATCAATGTGGAACACCCGCTTGACGGGCGCAATCTTGTACGGTGAGGATGGCCCTGTCGTATGCCGCATCGTGTAGTTACAGTTTCTCGTTCGGTATTGTCTCAACTTCGTCGCCCGCGGTGCACCGACCAGAGACGAAAGAGTTACGTGCGAACTGGTCATCGTAGCCATAGTGTTATCTACGCTTTGACCTGGTGATTACCGACGACTCGAGCGATGATAACCATCCTCCCAAATTTACATGCTCTACGTTGTTTGGTAGGAGGGCAGCTTCCTAGCCAGCTGTGCCGGTTGCTCGACGTCCTAGACCGTGCAACGGGAGGGATACTCGGTCTCGATGATAACCCATGGGCTGAGCCGCCAGCATCAATCGTGTCCAAGGGCCCGACGAGCATTAGAGGGTATTTCGAAGACCTGTATGTTGAATCCTCCCGGGTCCAGCGCAACAGCGTCAAGATTATTCTCGTCGGGCAGGAAGGCGCAGGGAAAACGAGGTCAGTGATGGTCTTGCTCGGGGCCACCGCTGATGCATCAAATGTGGTTGGCCGACTCGTTCGACGCAACGGACACCAGACGGTCGTGGCCGGGATGGAAGACCAACTTCAACCAAATATAGCGTACATGATGCTCGACCTTCACGAGGACGTCGGTAGCTAGAACCAAGGATCACTCTCGTGTTTGAACCATCTATGCGTGGCTCTAGTCTTGTTTTCTCCTCCTAGAATCGGGTTGAATACTGGCTCGAAAATGAACCTGTTCTTACGGTGTCTTTTTGCTGGGGACCGGTGTTTACGCCTCGCAGCTTGCGCCAGAGCATGAAGGCCAATGCAGCAATTCCTACGGGAGAGTGGAAGGAGGAGAGCACGGTTTTCGCAGATGTGGAGCCCATGCAGCTAGAAGGCTCATTCGTTCGGGTGTACGATTGCGCCGGCCAGGTAGCAAGTGTTGTTCGAGCTGAAGAGCGCTGTGGAGGTACTCGATAGGCATCACGTGAGACCGTTCCCAGGACCATTCCCTGTGCTCGCTAGGTTCGAGGATTCGGGGAATGCTCGGGTTGTCGGTTGCTTGGAATGGTTCCATAGGGATACCGTACACATTTGCGTGACACACATCTTGAAGGAGGAGAGGCCATCTAGTCGATGATGGTCGCCGATTAGCTCACACTACCCACGTTCGACAGGTTGCCTACACGGGGCTGCTGCAGATGTTCCTGACGCCACGGTCCGTTTGCGTGCTAGTGTGCAACGCGGAGGCTTTCGGACAGCAGCGAGGTGACGACACCGGTGGTCAGGTCAAGGAAGACTGCCGCAAGCTGGAAGAACTACGAGTCTGCGATTGGCTGCGATCAGTATCTCGACGCGTCCCTAACAACGACGTCATCCTCGTCGCTACCAAGTGTGATTTGGTAGGCGGCAACGCTGAGGAATTCGGCAGAAGAATTGAGCAGGCCACTCGAACGTGGCTGGCGAGCTGGGTTCACGATGGCATGCAGCCCGTTCGGTTGGAACCTGGCGTTTGTCTCACGAGCTGCTGCGCTAGTGCCGTCGGGGAAAATGGCGAGAAAAGCACCGGACACAACGCATCGGAGAGAGGTTGGGCGTGCGACTGGCGGGACGATAGAGACGATATGCCCCCGCCCGGTTTGGTCCACCGGCTCGTCAACAAGCCCGACGGGAGTGGCCTTCGAGGAACGCAGATGGTACTTCCTCGCAGCTGGGATATCGCCCTCACTGTGCTTGAAGCTCTAGAGCGTGGACGGTGAGCTCGATTACGTGTTGTTTGGAGGGGGTTCCTCAGCAACGGTTGGGTAGCCTTCTGAATCCAATAGGATATCATCGCCAGTCATCGGTCTGGACACAACCACCCCCAAATCCCAAGAGGGCTGCGAGGGGATTTGATCCCCTTCTGGGAGAAGCGTTTCGAACAAAGATCACTGGATATAGACGAGAAACGATGATTTTGTTTTTTTTTGCGATGTTGTAAAATCGATTCTCATGCTCACCCCTGCAATGCACATTGGTCATCTCGTTATTGGAGCCCATGCGCACTGCAACATCTTCACTTTGCCACAATCTCATACAGCCACGACACTTTGTTAGTGCACGCAAGATACGGTTGCTGAAAGACCGAAGAATCAGAAGAACGCCCAGACCCAATGATGAAGTGCAAGATGAAGCAAGCAGTGCTGAGATCTGTATGAGAAGCTACCGGTGATAACCGTGGACGCACGGGGTGTGAATCACTTGGATGCTGACCAGGACCAAAAAGCTATTCCATCTAACTGTACGCCCCACCATCCCTCGCCAAATGGGAAAAATGTTTTGTTCTGACTTTGCTCGTGAGATGTCCTTGGTCACGTCGGTGTCCGTCGCGCGTACTCGACTAGTCCGTACGATCCAGAGGTACCCGCACTGTCCTCGAACACTAGGGTCCTAGACGATGCGAGCATATACCCCTTGAATACACCACCGTTGATCCTGGTAATTGTCGACGATGCTTGCCCAGCGATCCCGTGGAGGTGGTGGTGGAGCATTTGGCTGAGCCTGACAGAGAAGACGCGACGAGAACAGCAGCACGGCAAACAGGCGTGTATCAGGGGATCACGGTGGAAGCCCTCAGGGTCAAATGGCAGGAGGCGGTTGTTGGCCTGGCCAGAAGAGGTGTCAATGTCACTAACGCCAAGAATGCGTTGGAGGGAGCTCTGTCGATCAGGTACAGAGCACTAATATTCTACACCAGAGAGGCTTGAAGCTTTCCGAAATGTGTTTGTTACTGATAATGTGTTGATTATGTTGCCCGCAGAAAACCCGCGGAGGGGGGGCATGCGGATCTGGATGAAGGCTTAGTTCTACCGCCCATCTGTAGATTGGACGCTGTTGGTGCTCACGGCCAGCTTTTGGAACCAGTTTCTGGAACCTTTCCGTGAAATCCGTATTTTCCTGTCCACACCTTTCCAGCCTCTCTCCTATTCCCAGTCTTCATCATTGACAGTTGACCTGGTGGGCACAAATAGACTTTCGGTTAAGTTGGCTGACATGTGAACCTAGGCCGGCGTGCGGGAAATCGTGGCAAATAGGATGCTAGTAATGCGAACCTAGCTGTGGCGCGGGACTGCTTGAGTGCGCCTGGTCATGTAGTAATGCAGACTGAACTCTTCATTTTGTCCACAACATTCACATGCAGGGAATTCGACGGGTCCCTTGTTCGCCACGAGATGTTTGTCTTTCTGGACGTCGTGTGGCTGGCAAGAATCCTCAAGCCTTTGCTCAACCACAAGGATGAAGAGACGTTCGACGGGCTTGTAAACCTAGGAGACACAGGCGATACGCGTGTCACCCTCGAGGATCCATTGGACATCGCTTCGTGGGGCAGGCTCAAGAACCAGGGGGTGCTAGAACCCCGGTTAGCGCGTACAATGTGGCCTAATGGTCTGTCTAAGTACGTTCTCCCCACTCTTGCATCGCTGGGTCTGACGTTCCCGCTCAAAAACGATCCTGCTGGGGGCCTGGTAGTTCTGCTACGGCTAAACCCAGACCGCCCCGAGCGTGTGGGCAAAGTGATCGACACATTCTGCTTGGACCAAACCCCGGCATTCAGCACCAGTTGGAAGATTTTCCTCGGGGTACCGGCCGGTGCGATTGAAAAGGTCTTGACGCGGTGCTGCAGCCTTGGTGGCGTGCAGACCTTTTGGCGGTCCGGGGTGCTTGTGCATGGTGGTCTTGGCGACGAAGATGGACACGAGATATTTGCCGTGGTCTTGGAATACTCGTCCTCCGACAACGAGCTGACTGCTCAGATTTTCGGCGATATCAGCACCCCAGCTCCATGGGTGGCGCTTTCGTATGTCATCTCTGCCGTGAGGTTGATGCTGCTGGATTTCCCAGGACTGCGCTCGAGAGGCTCTCTAAAGTGCCCTCAGCATGGCGACGCGATGCTCTTGGTCAATAAGGTGCGCCCTCAGGCCGTCGGGAGGTCTGATGGAGCATCGGTGCTTAACTGGGTAAGTGGTGGTACTTCACATGAAGGGTTCGGGGTGCAATGGACGTTGTTTGTTTAGTCATTTGGCCGTTGCCTAGCATCTCATGTGGTATCTGCTCTCGAGTCTTGTAGTCCGTGTTTCAGTCTGGTACGCCAGAACGTCAGAATCAGCTCCTTGTAGCACTCTTCCCATGAAACGTTCTCTACCTGCCACGCTTTTGAAAAATGGGAGCAATAACAAGGATTACCAACTGTCACCATAAAAAGCAACACTCTGGGGCGGATTCTGTGCAGACAGACAAAACCGTTTGTGTGTGATTTCCTCTTGTTGGTGTGGTAGTTAGGGCAGCACTCGGGTTGATACGTAAGCTCAGGAACACTTCGTTTTGCCCGTGCTCAATGCCTACACATTCCCCATTTGTCAGATGACTCAAGCCGGGGTCAAATTGCTGGAACCAAGTGGATGCCCACAGTGCAGTCCCGACACCAGGGGACTCGGGGCCGCGGCCATCGATCTCGTGAGCATGGTCGACATCCGACTGGACCGAGGTATGCACGTCGGTGGAGAGGTTGGAGTGTGGGTAGGTTGGTGTGTGTCTTTCGGTAGAGTCAGGCGTCCTTCACGCTGTTGCTCGATCCACGAAAGCTGCGTCTCCAATGCTTCGGTCAGTAGGTCCTGTGAAAGATGCAGAGAATGTTGCCGATGGATACGCCAGATTCAAGTTTTTCTTAGTTCCCTTTTTTTTCATCTTTTCACGTTCGTCACAGCGGTTGCGTTCGTGATTATGAAGGCGTTGTACGTTTCGTGAGCAATCGGCTCAAAAAGCGGAGTCGGAACATGTATACTGGAATAAATGTGGTCATGCCCCACACCTTATTCTGTTTCGACTGGTTTAGTGACACGTCCCTGCCGACTCATAGAGCTAATGTATTGAAGGCATCGTAGCTCGCAATCAACTGCTCTCGGGTGCTGAGCGAGATGCACCCCCCATTTTGTTATCGCAGACGTGATTTTCCGCGATGTCAAGCAGAGGTTCGTCGAACTGGAGAGTCAGTACTCCTTCTCGAGCTCGGCGGTGAGGATGATTGTGTGTCCTTGGAGTTTTGGATGTTGCACTGTCGTTATTATCCTTGTCCCCGGCTGTGATTTTTCTAAATCGAAGACTTGGTTGGTGGTTTCGCCACAATACACACTCAAACGATATATGGTAGGGGACAACTATTGAGCGCTTGGATTGGAACGTTGCTGCCCGTTTTGGATATCGCAGAAAGTGGGCCCACCGACACCATGATAGAGTGTCTTACTTAAGGACTGTTTCCCGTATCGTCAGGGGTCGGGGTTACTAGACTTCCCACTGCTAGGTCCAGAGGGTAATCTATTGGGTAGTTTCCGCCGCGATTGCTTAAAGTGCAAGGATTGGCCACCTTCACAACACTGCCCGTTCAATGATCGACAGTGTGTCCTCATCTGTGCGCGCGCACCCTCCCGCACATAACTCGCTGACGCCGGGTGCTGCAGTTTTGGCGTGTTTTGCCACGACTTGTGTCGACCAAAAACTTGTGCTGGGTGGGAAAGAAGCAGTAAAAAAGCGCGGGCAAGGATTGGACTCGCAATCTCGTTCTTGCCATGTTCTGTCGCTCCCTGCGATCTAAGGTTGTACTTCCGTTCGTTGGCGGTAGTAGGAAAAACCTGACGTATAGCCACTGACACTGCGTACGGTACACCTGATGCGACATCGTGTTTGCGACAGGCGAGCTCCAATGACGAGGACGTGCTGATTCAAAAAATGGAGGAAGTGGCGAGAACGTTGAAGGATGGGCTTGATGACCTCAAGGGAAGGTTGGGCAAGGTTCTGGACAGCACCCAGGAAAGTCTCATGCGCCTTAAGAACTTACAGGCTGCGAACTACCCGTACCCTCGCCTGGTGGCAGTAGAGGAAATTGCTTCTGGTGGCACTCCGTCGAAAGCTCATGGGATCAACAGAGTGCTGAACAAGCTACGTGGTGTGGGTACGAAGGAGATGGTGCTGCACTTCTTGTGTCCAGTCGACATGACCAAGGTGCCGTGCGGCTATGGAGGCGAAGGCTATCGGTTTCGGGAGGCCCGTAGATGGGTCAAGAAGCTATCGCCTGTGCTTCAGGTATGACAAGCACTTGCACCGACCGATCGTAGGTAGCAGAGGTGGTCCAGTTTCTTCCCTGTCTTTACTCAGGCGGCCTTCCAAACAAGAAGCGTTCCTGCTTGCAATACATTGAGGTATGAGCGTACAAATGTGAATTCCTACAAACATCCAAATATCCGTTTCTACTTTGTATTGGTCGGGTGCTCCTTTTCTTCCTAGGTGGCCGTGGTGACGGCGAAGGTGGCCCTAAAAGCAACGTCAGGGCTAGACGTGGATCTCTCGAATTTCCTCAAGGACGTGCAAGATGGATTCGTCGATGAGCTGGTCGACCAAACACTCGACGAGGACACGCTACTTCGTGTTGTATTGGGTGAGGAGGATGCCGGGTTCAACATGCGAAAGGAAACAAGAGCCTCGTATGAAGCACTGCGGGGGTTCATGGGAAAACTTGAAAGGCGTAAGGATGCTAGGGATGGCGATGGCTACGTAGATTTCAGGGACAACATGCAACGTCTATCGGACGGAAGGGGGGGGGAAGTATGGGTTCGGAACGAAAACGTTGAACGGTGGTTGGACTCACATTCGAACGCTGTACCATCGCGCTAGATGCGTGGCCACTATAATAGGGGAGTATGCACACCGAATTGCGATGCTGTAGATTTATCTTCTATTTTGGTTTCGTCGTAGGAACGGGGTAGAATGGCACGCTGTGGCACGGCCGCTCGGAACGAGGAAGAGGAAAGAAGAGGGACAGAGCGGGCTCCGACCATACTATTGTCATGAAGAGCGCAGGGTGGGAGAAGAGCAATGCGTTTCTTTCCGCTTTTTGATGGAGTCGAGACAGTTGTGCTTAAGAGCACGATGTGTCTACTTTCTTTGTTTGCCCTTTTTCCCTTTCGCATGCAGGCGTGAACAAAAGTTCTATGTCATGCTCTCTTTGTTGAAATTTTCTTGCTCTACTTCGAATGCTGTTGTGGGAATCGCGGGTTCGTCGATCGTATCGTGGGGGTACTGCGGTAAGGGGAACATTGGTACCCTATATGTGATATGCATATATCTGGGCTATATTTGGGTGGGTCCGTTCGCACGCACCATGGCGGCCATGGTGATCGACGATGAACAATAACATGCGTTCGGCGGTATGAGAAGTGCAGGGTAGACAACGCCTTGTGCATGTGCTCACACATTGTCGGGAATTCACGAGGGACGTCCCATGGGACGTGCGTTGAGATGTCCCACACGTCCCACAGGCGTCCCACGTCCGCTTCAAATCGCCAACAATTAGGAGGTGCTATGCCTCGCCTGTGTTGACGCTTTTGACGGTCCATGGGTAGCTTGAGACGTCTTGTGGTCCGTGTGGGACAGCCCATGCGATGCGTGGGGACGTGCAGGACGCCGATGAAACGGCCATTCGACTAAACGTCATGGTCGGGCGAAAATACGCTCTGGCAGCCCCAGGGTCCTGTCTACATATGACGCATGTATTGTATGCGTCTACAGTAGGGGTCAGGCAGATGGGACTTGTGGGATGCCCCAGGGACGTCCCATACGGATTCCTAATAATCAAGATTCCAATTTTCTGGTGAAGGCGTTTCGTGAACGTTTCTTCGACGTTTCTTGACCAAAGGCAACTGGGACGAAGTGCAACGGTACGTTACTACTACTGCTGTATGAGCCAGTTTGTTCGGCGTTTTACGGACCCACGCTGCTGTACATGTTGCTGAATCATGTACAACACCCACAAGTTCGGCGCGTGCCCAGTACATATCTGCTGAAAAGCACCAAGCAGCAATCGTAATATTGCCTTGTAAGCCTCCGGACCATCATGTCTACGGCTCCCTCGGTCACACCACATGTGGCCTTGGCCTCGTTCAACCGACATCCAATAGTCTACACATGCGACAAAACTGATAGAATCAGCGGAGGTGCACCTGGAGGTCTGCTCCTCGGATGCACTAGCCTCTGACCCTGCAATCGCCCGCACCCATAGGACCGCCGGAAAGGGAATCTGGAGCCCTGGAGATACTGATGGGAAAAAATGGTGGTATCTTGTGGTATGCAACATTCCTACAAGTAGAGCTGTCTGATGCGGAGGGATTCAGACGTGGACGGGGTGCCGTAGCAACCTAATCACGTAGCGCGAGCAACCAGCATAATTTTCTACCTTGTCCCCGTAGACGTGCACACTTGGAACCAGGACAGCACGTCCTGATGACAGGGACACGGCAGCTCTTGGAACCGGACCCGGACAGCGGGAACGCTTGCGCCCCTCGCGCCCCCTCGGAGGGGGCTCACAGATGGCAACCCAACACATGATGAGCCGTACTTCGTGGAAGGTTCCTCCGCACATCACAGACCACATCAACACCCCGCCACCCACCAACCCTGAAGCTAACCCCAGGAGGTCAAGTGGGAAGGGACTTCAGGTGAGAGATTGACGGAGCTTCTGGTTTAGAGTTCTTTGAATGGTGGCATTGGAAACGAGAGGAGCGAGGCTGTCGGCTGAATACCACAAACTACTATACTTGTACGCCAACAGCCAACTCTGTGCACATAAACCGTTCCTCTCGGGGGGCTTCAGATTCGAACACCTGGCAATGGAGCACGCGAGCTTCCTTACTCATCCTTCGAAGGCCATCTGTCATAGTGTTGTGTTTAGGTCCGGGTGCTGAAGACAGTGCTCAGGAGTTTCCATCATCGTACATAAAGCCTCGGTCAGCTGTAATACCCGGCACCGTATGTGGTATGCGTACCGCGTTACGCCTTCTCGTTTCAATTTTCCACAGCAGTAGTCTACGCAGCAAAAAACCCGACTAAGCAAACATGTGGGATAAAGTATTCAATCCGTGCTTTGGAGTTAGGGTTAGGGTTAGGGCTAGGGTCTGCGTGCCCCCTCCCTATTCTTTTTCAAGATACTCTTAAAATCCCGCGTAGGCGGTCCGGCCGGCCACCACTTACCGCAAATGACACAAGATAACACACCCCCAGGACCAATTTTGAAATCGATTTCTCAACAGCAGAAAGAGTCACAGCGCCGAAAACGGTGGTGTTAAAAGCTGTCTCGTCGAGAGCTTTCCGAAAATGTATTGTTTCGTTGTTTCCTTTTGGTGCATCCTCTTCGTCGTGGCGTAATCAAGCTTTGAAAATTGGTCCAGGGGGTGTGTTTTGTTGTGTCATGTACGGTAGTTTTTCCGAACTATCAACTGATGGCGACAACAACCAAGAAAGCACGTGTGGGAGCAGTCGGGCAGTGTTACGTAACGCATCATCCTTGCATTGTCACAGAAAGCTGGTTGTCTCACACAGCATCGTAGTCTACCTCCACACACCTTGTGCCTGAATCCAACAATATCCACCAGTCAGCCAAAATTCGGGACAAACCCCCGACACGATGAGTACCCAAATCAGTTTTCTTGCGTTGCGGAGTCCCGACCTGGGCAAATGTTTGGTAGGAAACATCATGAAGCAGCGGCACGCGCCTTGGCCCCCCCAGTCCCCCCCCAGTCCCCAGACCTGTTTGCTGAGGCCGTTCTGTCGGGGGAGGTACATACTAGTGTAGCTGCGGTCCGAAAAATCCGAAAACTTCTGAGTCCGTAGTCCGTGCCATTCACGATACATTGCCGACACACGCGCCGTCACAGACCCAATCCCCGGAACTGCTGGGTGTCCCTGTATGGGCCAAGATTTGGGGATGCTTTTGACCGCAGCTGCATATGCGTACTTGCGTCCTTCGACAGCACGGCACAAGCAGCTGATCTGGGTGTAACCCAACGCATGCCGCCGCTCCATGATGTCCCCTACAAGAGTATGTGCTCAGGTCGTGACTCCGCAACCATCAAGTTTGTTTCCGATTTACTCCATTGGTCTACAGATGCGTTCGATTGGTCACGACCCTTACACGCTCCCTATTGGCTGAATCTAACTCCGTTGGTGTCCCGTTGCATTTTCCAAGATAGTTCGTATGCGGCCGTGGGAAAAGCGTAGTTACGGTCCATAGGTCGTGTGCCGAAGGACATGAAGCTTCTCTTCTGCAGGTCGTTAAGCTTCCAGCTTTGGGTCTTTCTGTGCATGCTTTACACAGATTTATGTGCAACAGTTGTTGTGCGAACAACGTGCGAACGTAACGGGTATACGTCGAAGTACAAATAATACCGGGTTTTTAACCGTTCGTCCCTTTTAAAGCAAGTATGTTTGCATAAAATCTGGTACTCGGCCCCTATCTACACCTATGGGTCACCTATTTTCAGCAACGCCAAGGAAGAGTTGTTGCTGTCTTCACATTAAGAACCGTTCTGGTCTTCGCTCAGTACTAATGTCCGTATACTGTAGTATTGGTACAACTGACGCGGACGCCTTCCGTGGTCACAAGCTAACTACCCCAAAAAGGGGGTTTCACCTTTCCAGAAAAATCATCAATACTCGTGCGCGCGAACAATGCTCAATGCTCAAGACAATTACTGTAGGTCCACTTTGGGGCGGCGGGGGGGGGGGGTGTACTCATAGTCGTGCATGCCGTAGTCGTTTGACCATTGACCTCGCATCCCTACAAAGCCGGGACGGAGCACGCCGGGTTCTCACCGGACCAGGCTCTCACATCACCAAGCGCGAAGCGCCGTGAGGTATTTGGCGAGTCGCATGAAGGGTGAGCTGCATCCTGTTAAGGGTGTTCGGCATCTTGTGCTTACTTCCTTGCGTACGGATGACAGCTACGTATGACTTAATTTATTTTCTGGTGCTTTTACTTCCAGAGACAGTTGTAAGCACTGTGTAACTGCCTCGAGGAAGCTTGACCATTTTAACACAACGTGGTGCGATCATCCCCCGTTGCGCGGAGTGAGGTTTCTCCACCCCGCACAACATGATCTACTCGACCACCATTATGGTTACCGCCAAAAAAAAAACCGAGGTAAAAAAAAAAAACGGTAACCTGGTTGCCGAGTTCACGAAGTGAATTGGCTTGTTTTACAACGTCGTTGCCAAGCGACGAAAACCCAATCCCGATGGCAAACACCGAGTGGGGGGCTTGTTTTACAACGTCGTTGCCAAGCGACGAAAACCCAAACCCCGATGGCAAACACCGGGGGGGCGGCGGGGGGGGGGGGGCAAGTAGCAGAGATTCCCGGGGGATATCGTGAGGCGTTTCGGCTGACTCGGGGACATATACCGGAGATCCCCGGGTTGTGTGCTGTAGCGTTGTCGCTGAGGATTCTGGTTCTTCTCAACCCTTGTGGGGGGTGATGCCACTGTTTTATCCCATTCTTCAGTCTATGAGAAGAAATTACTCGAAAATACTAGTGTATGTCATTTGTGGACCTGGAGACCGCGTTGAGAGGTGGTCGACACCCCGCGACCCCCGAGGTTGTCTTTTCGGCAGCCTCTAGCCCGATTGTCGCCCGTCTGGCCGAGGGTGGCCCGAGAAACCATTTCTGACAGCCTGACGGCGGAGCGTTCTTCATCGAAACCAAACTGCCCACTTTATACAGTAACATAAATATGTGCCTGGAGAGAAACACGTACCTGCCTGTGAACCTAGGCGTTTCGGACGTGTCGTACGGAAAACGCCAATTTTCAGGTCGTCACCAATGAGATATTTTGGCCAATCTTTTGTGAAAAAGTGAACGCAACCGAGAATCTTTGTTAGAAGGATCTTGCGGCACATATTTGCGCACACAGACCTCTCACGTGCTGATCCCTCACGTGCTCGCGATGGCCATCGGCCGAAAGCCGCCGCCATGGCGACGCGGAAATACGGGGGCTCGAAGACCTCGAGGACAATCACACGAAATGCTCGTGAGCGTTATCTACACCACCAAGCTTACTGCGTCGTCTGTCTGTAGGTGCACCCTTGGACTTCACCCGTTGTCGTGCGTTCATGTTCCTACCAACAAGCTCTTGCTCGGGTAACGTAGCATGCGTACTGAATTATTGTCGAGTATGAACATCCGGCTGCCAATGCTAACCGAATGGGTTCCATTGTTGTGGTGTGGTAAGTTTGCCCAATGTCCCCCAGCCTATGTGTCCGCAATATTCGATGGCGGATACTCTTGGTGACTCCAAAAAAAAACACTTGTTGGATTTCGACGATTGAACAGGCTACTGCTACTATGTGTCTGGTAGGATTTATCGTGTTGCCGTCATCCTCTTGAGCCATTTCCTTGCATTTATGCACATATCGAAGATATCTGAGCCTCGCTTTCGTTCTGAATGCCTCAAAGAATGCTTCAAAGTGGGCTGGCACTGTGAATGTTTGAAGGACCAGCCAGGTTTACGCAGGAAGTATTATCCACCTTTCCTCCTGCGGCGCTTGTCGTCAATGTTGACGCGAAAAGGGTTCAGCAGACCCTTCCCTCTTTGTTCTGCGTACTCAGTACTCGTCACTTTTCACGTCTTCATCGTGAATGTTTCACTCCACCAAGAAGATTCGCAGCGTTAAAGCGCAGCGTTAAAGCCGGGAGGTCAACCCCTGAACTGTCGTCCACTGCTGTTGTGTGACCTTAGCTCAGATGATACGAACAGCTTCGTTTCTTCCCGAACGCGCTTCGAGAGCCCGTATACCCTCACCCAGAAGGCCTCGCCTGTATTTGGGAGAGTGGTTCAGCGATGGACGCGGCATGTCATTCACTGGTTCACCTCTCACGCAGGTTCTTTAGGAATGGCTTCGACGGATCGTGAGGTACTGGTTGCCCTGTTACGTTCGACGGGCGGGAATACTTGGAGAAGAAAAGACAACTGGGACACAGATACTGAGCTAAAAACATGGTATCGTGTCAAGGTCGACGACCAAGGCTTCGTCGTGCACCTCGACCTTACGGGAAACAACCTCCGAGGTAACCTTTGGCCAATGGCGTTGAGAAATTTATATCGTTCGCTCCAGAGACGTGCTTTGCCGCCCTCAAGAGCTCGTTGTCCAAACGCCCTTTCATGGGGGTGAAGTTTTTGCATTTCGTCACAACTCTGTGTTCTCGGGATTTTCGCGTTGTATTGCAGCACGTACACTTCTGAATACATGACCAAAAGTGTGTTTTTGACGCCTTTGCCTAGCTACGAAGTCCCCAGCTCCTCCAGTAGACCTCCTGTATTGACAGGTGAGGTAGATCAGGCAACAATTTTGTGTTCTTTGCAATAGATTTCATGGTGGTGGCTCTAATGATGTATCCTCCCTTATGTGCGCCAGATACATCATCATCCATATATACATCTCGACTCATCTTGCCGTTTGAGCAGGAAAGATACCGAGAGAGCTTGGAGAGCTGAGGGCGCTTACATCCCTGCACCTTTGGAACAACACCCTGACAGGTGAATGCACAACAAGCTAGTGGCGAAACGATTGGGCTCTTGAATCCTGCCCACTCGATGGTGGGACACGTACCCTGGAGACAATTTGTTTGAGTCATCAGGAAATGCTTTGTTTGTTGGGGCTCACAATGTAACTCGCTTATGTCAAGCTCGAGGTGCTTCAGTGCTGCTAGGTTCCCTAGTTCCAGCGGGATGGGTCCTGCAGCATACGAAGATGTGAGGATTAGCAGGTGGTCGGCAAAAACAACAAAAATATCGTTCCCCCCAGCTTGTTGCTTTTTTCCGTACCCAATACTTGTACAACATGAAATTACCTGGTTACCAACGTAGGAGGCGAAGCGTTGTTTGAACGATCTCCTCGCACGGTCATTTGTTAAAGTGAATCATTGTTTTACCACTGTGCGCTGGTTCTACAGGGCCCATTCCTAAGGTGCTTGGAACCCTCCACGGACTGAAGACGCTGTGGCTCAACCACAACCATCTCGCCGGTAAATTACGTTTCTTGGTGTTAATTTGCAATTTTTGTATAAATTGTCAAACCGCTTGCACGGATGACCCCCGTCACAGCATGGGTAGTAGGCCACTTGTTCTAGAGGCACGCGCGTTCAGCGGAGTTGTTTTCGACTATGTTGTACACGACCAACTCCTGCCCTATCAAGCAGGTACTATTCCGCAGGAACTGGGAAACTGCGTAGGCCTGACGGAGCTGTGGCTCTGCGAAAACAGCTTGGAAGGTGTGTGTGTATGTCCGCATGATCCCAGTTGTTGTGAATGTCACCTTGTACATGCTTGGATATATGTTCTGGAAGCATCAGCCGGGGTCTCGACCGCACGGCAGTTGCTTGGATTGTCCTTTTTCCCTCTGTGGTGCTTCTCTCAATTGTTTTCACCAGAAGAAGTTAGCCTTGTCCTTCCCTCCTCGGCAAAGTCTAACGTGCTGTGTACACACAAATTCGTCGCTGTCCAAATCGTTTGGGGATGTCTGGAGTAAAACATACCACTTCTTGCGAGTGCGCCGATACTCGAAGTCACATCCCGCACTCCAGGTTATGAGGTTTCCAAGTGAATCACTCGCACAGCAGTGTTGTTGCTGGTTTTGTGTACCAATCAACGTGTTGAATCTCACCGCCTTTGATCAGACAGGTACCTGTTTTTGAGTAGTGCAGAAGCACGGTCCTCACCATGTCCGCTTCCAAGGCCGGGTCCTAGATTTCATGTCCTGCCAACGTGTTGGTGACTAGGTCGCTACATTCTAGGAGTTTGGGTAGGGTTCATCATCTCGTTTCTATGCATACTCGAATCTTAAACCTTTCTGTCTACCCCCGCTCGCTACAGGTCCTATCCCCCCGGTTCTAGGGAAGCTTGAGGCCCTCGAGCAACTGATGCTTTGGGGCAACAAGTTGAGCGGTGAGTATTTCAACAGTTTTTTTCAAAAGCAAATAGTTGGCTTCCAGATCGTCGGTCCTGCCAACGGCGTTGGCGAGATTCACGGCGGATTGATAGGTTGCAATTTTTCTGAAGAACTCTCTTTTCGCCGTTTGCACAGGATATATTTCGGAGGCGCTGGGAAATCTCAGTATGTTGAAGGTGCTTCGGCTCGATGACAACCGGCTTACCGGTAAGAAGCGTGCGCTATCATCACGATTTGTTAGACCTGTAAAGGGTTTGAGCGCTCGCTAGTAGAACAAGGGCAGTAGCCCACGCAAGGGAGACGCATGCTGCTCGCTTTGCAGCACAATTTTCTTGAGCTTGCTCAGGCTCTGATCTCTGTCGGGGTGGCTCGTGCACGCAACCGCTTACAGCAGGGTTGATTTGCTCCACACGGGCTCCAAAGTGTCGAGCGATCGATGATCCCGTCGACGAGTTGGCGGGAATCATGGCGTTCTGCATTCGGCCACGCTTCATCTAAAGACGTTGTTTATTCGCCGTTACACAGGACAAATCCCCAAAGCGCTGGGAGGCCTCAGCATGTTGGAGAAGCTTCGCCTCGACAACAACCGGCTTACCGGTAAGAAGCGCGCGCTATCGTTATGTATTTACCGATAGGTAGAAAGCAGTTCAACTTTCTTCTAGGTCATGTGGCCTACTAACCCACGCGTAGGCGAGTAAGTATTGTTGAACACCACAACCAACGCTGATTTGACACATGCCTCATCAATGAGCTGGTGGTCTGAGAGCCACAGCGTCTACAGCTTCGTCAGAGCTTGCCGGGCCTCGATAATGAGTTTTGCAACAAAAACGAATAAGGAGCACTTCCATGAAATGAATGCATGTAGCCAACATCAGGCCCACCTGCCCTTCACGAAGATGCAATATCCTACTCACTGACGCCTTGAGAGGACTCACGGCGGGTCTGTACTTTCAACGCGACTCATCTGAACAGCGCTGTTTATTCACCTTGGCACAGGACGTATACCCGAGGCGCTGGGAGACCTCCGCATGCTGGAGGAGCTTCGGCTTGACAGTAACCGGCTTACCGGTAAGAGGCGTGCTGTCGATGTGTGCGGTCCGATTGTACGGGGAACTTCCGCTTTCTTCAAGAAAATGTGGCCTACCCACCCACGTGTTGACTGACCCGTGGTAGAAGCTTGTTCATCCGATTTGCTCGTCATTTTGTTTCTCGTGCCGCTGTTTTCAGGGTCCATACCGAAGGAGCTGGGAGCTCTCGCCGCGCTGAAGCACGTTGTTCTCCGCGACAACCAACTTACAGGTGAGACACGGGCGTAGTTTTGGAACAGACGAGGGTTACCGCTTCCAGAACATGTATGCTTTTCCCGTTGTTTGCCGTGTCATGTACTACCGTCACCCGCAGTACAGTGCACACGCTACGGTCCCTGCCTGCCTCCTAGTGAAGAGCCCCAATCCTGGGCCGAGTTCATCCTCGGTGCTCGAACCTGGTCAATAACGCGTTGAAGGTGAACGGTGCGGGGAAGTTGTGCAAATATCCTATTCAGCGACCCTGGAAACGTCTTATTTAAGCGGTTTTCCATATTCTTAACCTCCACACGCTCTAGGTTTCGCGACAGAAAAGTTCGCACTTTGTTCAGTACACTTTTTGTGGCTAAACTCGCATCATGTTATACAGATATACTCACACGATTGCGGTCGTGTCGTCATACATTTCAAACTGATAGTGTTGTCAATCTTTGCCACCATCAATCACAAGGTGCTCTATACCTGTCGGACCACATCTACAGAACATTGCTGCTGTAGCGTGCAGTGACACGTTCTCCAACAGGACGTTCTCCGCGCTCAACAATGACATGCGACCTTGCGTCCACCCGTGGCATACATTCGTTGCTGCTGCCGAACTACAGAACACCGCATTTGATGTGTTGTGTCTCCTGCTTGGGGGGGGTGACATAAATATTGCCTGCCTTGCTACCCACACCGATTGTTGTGTACGTGGGTGAAGAAAATTCATAATAGCGCATCTTTGCGACATCAGCTTCATGAGATACCTCCTGCTGCATGCCGAAGGGTATACTTCAATGCGAGGCACCGGGCGAAGTGAAATGCTGCTGCTGTAGACACGTCTTAGCGCATGCACGCGCAGTATTTAACATGTTTTGTTTCGTGTTGATTCGGATTCAGATTCTCTTCTCAATCTGCCATCATCAATCACAAGGTGTTCTACTGCTGTAGACGACATCGTCCGGATACTGCTGAAGATTGCTGCTGCTGTAGCGTGCAGTGATGTTCTCCAACAGGACGTTCTCCGCGCTCAACAAGAAACACGCGACCTTACGTCAACCTGTAGCAACAATGTCTTCGTGCAACGTGGTAGCCGACAGTTTTGTTGGAGGTAACAAACCTCAATAGGTGTGCTGTTGTCTACGAGCCTCCGACACGAGGCCATAACTTGTTCGAAAGCGTAGGTGACAACACCTCAGTCATACACGGAATGGATGTCATGTTCGATCTCATCCACGCACGCATTCCCTCCTCACAAAATTTCCCACACCCGTCTTCCTTCCGCATTACGTTTGATGGTGATCGGGCATCTCGACCTTTCACGAAAATTCCCCCTGGTTTCATTTTTTTTTTTCTACCGATTATCTACGCCATGTACAGACGGACGTGAGCACCTCACATCGTCTGAGACTCACACCCTTCTTTCGTATCGATGTCATTATCGCCTCTACTTCCTCTGCCCATATAACCGCCGCATCCATGTCACGCATGCTGGCCGCCCGCCCCACTGGGGGGCGGGGGGCCAATCGTTCCCCCTAGTACTTGCTATGCATAGAAGCAGGTGGTACTTCGATTCTTATCTCTGGAGTAAAAAACCCTTGGCAATTGAGGGTGAAAAACGACTGCATGGTTCGTGAGTATACACACTTTGGCTTCACGGTCGACCACATATATAAGGGAGAGCTGTATCCTTCTTACGAAAATATTGCAAGCACCACAGAAGGAAAGGTGGAGCATACAAGCGAAACCAAGAAAATGCCACTGTGTGACCCCGGCCGATACGTCAACATATACACGGAATGGTGTGTACACTGGCGCCAGAATTGGTGGAACGAATACACGCGCGTGATTTTCGAAACGAGTATTTTCTCATCGAGATCGGTGAAGTTCAAGCACTACCATCGATTATACGAATGTGGCATCACATTTTCTAACGCCTGTGACCGTAAACGAGAGCCACTTGTGACGCCGGTTTTAGCGTGATGGTTTTCAAGGTCATGTGCGTAGATTCAGACGTAGAAAAGTTGCTTTGAAGAGTCAGAAATCGGACCGTCACCGCATACTGCTTGTAGCTAACCGATGTCGAAGGAAAACGACCTGTTTCGAAAACAATGTACCGAAAATCTACACGAAATCGCAAGGGCCTCGGTCCTACTGACACTACCCATCTTCAGAACAGTGCGGCGGGCTCGTGATGGTAGATTCAACTACGGTCAACTTGTGGGAAAGGTGTTCTATCGAAGAATTTCCCGGGTTGCTGAAAAGGCCATCTGCGGAACTCCCCCGCGCCCTTCAGTTCAACAGTTTCTCCCCAAAGGGACTTTCACGAACGGAGCGCTTGTGACGGCTAGACCCCAAATCAAGCTTTGTTGACTTCGCTGACAGTCGCAGTCCCGACCTAGCGTTCACAGGGTTACCGATATAGAATTGCAAATAGACCACCGAGACGACCGGCATTGTACTTGCATATTCATGCACCAAGCTCTATTACAGACGGTATACCTGTGCGGTGTTGAACACCATATTATAGACCAGCACTTTTTCTGGGGGGTTTTGCCTCCAAGCACATTCACAACACGTGTGAGTTGCTATGATTCGTAGAAAATGTGTTGGATCTTGCTGACCGGAAGTTGGCATGTACATGGCCTAATAAGGAGTCAAGTCTAGCACCATCGTTGATGACAACGTGAGAGTCTGAGATAACGGCATTGATACGTGATGGTGCTACTATAGTAGTTCTAACATTGTGCCAAGATGGCATTGCTCGTTCTCCCGCGGTTGCGCTATTCCTTTCGACTTTCGTCTTGAGACTGCCCTGTTTTCACTTCCCTGTATACCCTGACCCCGCGGCTCTATGCGATTGTTTGCTTGTACGTCTGTCTGGCAATATCCGTGCGCTCGACAGCTCTCTGGAATCACACCCTGAACGTTGAAGATGCCCGTCACGAAGAGGCATCTCACAGCATGCAAGGTATGCCGTCTGCAGCAAAGCATCCACAGCAATGTCCCCGTGTTTGCCAGTATCGAACTGCTCTTGTATGGTATGGGTGGCGCTGGTGTATGCCAAACCGGAAAAATACATCTCGTTCGGGGCCATCTCAAATTCGTGGCCTGTGGTGCATCCACCGCAAGGAATGCTGAGAACTGTTCATCGTCAAACGTTGGCTCTGGGCAGGAGCCTCTACTCCTTGGAATAACGACCGCCGATTGCACGAGCACTGACACGCATCCTTTCAAACTTGCATGCTCCACCTTGCTCTGTAGGAGGGTCATTTCCTCGGCAGCTGTGCCGGTTGCTTGATGTCCTAGATCGTGCAGAGAGAGAGGTAGATCTCAATCTCGATGATAACCCATGGGCTGAGCCTCCAGAGTCCATCGTGGCCAAAGGCGCGAAGAATATCAGAGGCTATTTCGAAGACCTGTACGCTGAACCCTGCCGGGTCCAGCGCAGCAGCGTCAAGATTATTCTCGTCGGGCAAGAAGGCGCAGGGAAAACGAGGTCAGTGATGGTCTTGCTCTTGGCCACCACTCTAGTGCATCCAATATTCTGCGCTGGAGTCATACTGCACATCGATTGGTGATGGCGTGGTGTCAGTTCAACCGCAATCAACAATGAGTGTGGCGCACGAACTTCTCATGACGCGGGTATTGGAGTCACGAAGGTTGGCTACCAAATCGCATATCTGTTTATCGGGATTCTCGAGGCTATGTTTCGCCTTTTACCGCCCAGATGATGGTATTCAACACGGCGGTGCAAATGAATTCTTGCCGCAGGACAAGACCAAAACTAGTTTCCTTAAAGAGCAAACTCTATACGGACGATCATGATTCGTTCTGAGTGTATGCTCTCGAAAATGAGCCTCGCGGACACACCCCGATGACATTTTGCGTCATGCTCTCCATCGTCCGTACTATCCATTTGTTGGAAACTCGTGTCCTTCTGCAGCTTGCGCAAGAGCATGAAGGCGAAGGAAGCAACTCCTACGGGCGAGTGGAAGGAGGAGAGCACAGTTTTTGCAGACGTGGAACGCATGGAGCTAGAAGGTTCATCCATTCGGGTGTACGATTGCGCTGGCCAGGTGAATGCTGTTCATGCTGAAGATGTGTGTTGGAAGGTACTCGATAGAGGCGTTGCGTGAGATCACCACTCAAAGGTAACCTGCTGCGCCCTACGTGCGAGCTGAATCGACTGCAGCAGTTAGGTGCAGCATTTCTTGCCACGAAAGTGCGAACGTGCATCATCAATATTTTCCTGATATTGTTTCCTGTTTCGCCTTCCAGAAGAGTGTGTTGTTTTGCCATACCGAACGACGTCATTCAGCCTTCGTGGCTGCGGGGCTGTGCCAACAGTCGCGCCCTTCTCCGCGCTTGCTGCACTTGCGCCAGATTTCTATTTCATGTTTGTTCTCATTTGGGTGGACGGGAGAGCCCGCGAACCCATTTTCACGGATTACGCTTTACAACCCCTAACATGCAACCCAAGTTGGCTGCTCTCGTTGATATCGGTGCGCGCCCTTACGATCCTACCTTGCCCAATTAGAATCCCCCGCTCATCTTGGTGCGGCGAGTGCCTTGGTGGAAAGAAGATCCGTTCCGTGTAGAATTATCGGGGGTTGCGGCCATGACGTAGGTGATGCTAAGATTGAGTGACCAAAAGGGGAGTGGGACGAGAAGGTGTTATTGCACTAGGAGATACTGGAGATACTAGTGCCACATCGGCATCATTGTATTGTGTGTTACGTAGTGTAGGTGAGGACGGCGTATTGGGTGGGTTTGAACCCGACGCTTGTAACGTACACGCTTGAAAAATGACATTAGGAGCTGCGGAATTGGGACGATGTATCGAATACGGACCATACCCCCCAGATGATTATCTCTCAGGCGCTGAAAGGGCAGGGGGATATCGCACCCCGGTACTCTTTAATCTGGGTGCCCGGCAACTGCATCGCGCTCAGACACTTCAATTCGGAACCAACTCGGTTGTTCGAGCGCAGTAGACGTCATCAATGGGGTTGGTACACTTGGGGGGGGAGGAGCACTCCTTAGGATGGAACGGTATGTAGTTGATGGTGTTCAACCTTTTGCTCGCATCACGCACAAATGACAGGTAGCCTACACGGGGCTGCTGCAGATGTTCCTGACGCCACGGGCTGTCTGCGTGATAGTATGCAACGCGGAATCTTTCGGACAACAGCGAGGTACATGCGAAACCGGTGGTCAGGTTAAGGAAGACTGCCGCAAGCTGGAAGAACTGCGAGTCTGCGATTGGCTGCGATCGATCTCTCGACGCGTTCCCGACAACGACGTCATCCTCGTCGCTACCAAGTGTGATTCGGTGGGCGGGAACGCCGGGGAAATTGGCAAACGAATTGAGCTGGCCAGTCGAATGTGGCTGGCGAGCTGGGTTCGCAGTGGCATGCAGCCCGTTCGTTTGGAGCCTGGGGTATGTCTCACGAGCTGCTGCACGACTAACGTGTGTGAGGATGGCGAGAGAAGCACCAGGAACCAAGCGATGGAGGGTGGGTGGACGTGCGACTGGCGGGACGGTAAAGACGACAACCCCTCGCCCAGTTTGCTCCACCGGCTTGTTAACAAACCCGACGGTGGCGGTCTCCGAGGGGCTCAGATGGTGATTCCTCGAAGCTGGGATATCGCGCTGACGGTTCTGGAAGCTCTAGAGCGTGGACGGTGAGCTCGATTTGGTCTTGTTGGGTTCATAGAGATTGCAGGGTAGCTTTGCGAGCTCCAGAGTATCATGTTGACTCAGACCTCTGGGCACGTATTTCAACCCCCCTCCCCCAGGGGTGGGCGAGGGGACTTGATCCCCGACCGGGAGGGAAGTCTAGCAATCTACAATAACCGTTGGAGACACACGTTGGGCGGTGGTGTTGCTTACCGCTGCAATGCACAACCATAGCTCTCTACTCGAAGCCCTTGCGCAAAATAGCATCTTCACTTGACAAAAAGCTCATGCATGACGAAATATCATCGTTACACCCAAGATTTTATTATCGACAGGCTGAAGAAAACGAACAAAGTGCAAGCCAAGACTTGTTGACTTCTGCATGAGACGTTGCCTTTGACAAGGGTTGGTTTGCGTGGTGTGCTTATTTTCGGTGGTTGCAAGGGCCCAGGATGATGTCATACCAGACAACCATCCAGCAATCACGCCATGGTGTTGATGGTATCTTTGTATTTTTTTCCCTGTTGTGAACATTTCCATTTGTACAGCTGTTTTGCAAACCCAGGAGGTCTCCCCAAATCCAATGCTTTCATGAAAATGTTCGCACTGAGAATGAGAAAAAATGGTACTCTACAGAGCTCCACTAAGCACGAGCGAATCAGAGGGTGCAGATAGATTTAACAATCGCGACCCAGAGAGTCAATCTACGACCGAAGAAATTTCCTCAAGTAACAAGAGCAGACAAGAAAACTCTCAGAATTGAAATAAAGCTCATTGCCCCGTTCTTAGAAGCTGGGTCAAACACAGGACATACTTTGCGACACCTGGTGTGATGTTGGAGATTCCGGGAATGTCTCTGCCCGCCACCCGCCCTGGCCGAATGGGAGCTACATATGCTATTTTCGCTGCTACGCTTTGGTCGAATTCGATACGGCACTGTCCATCGTGTCCACACGAGCAGTCCGCACCACCCAGAGGTGTGAACGTAGTTGTGAACCATCGGTGTCCTACGGACGCCTCAAACTTAGGGGTAGCTGGACGATATGACGATTAAACCTGCACTTGCTGAATCATCCTTGCCCAGAGATCCCGTGGAGATGGTAGTCGAGGATTTGGGCGACGCTGACGGAGGAGACGCCACAGGAACGGCAGCATGCAAGACAGGCTTGTACCATGGAATCACGGCGGAGGACCTTCGCACCAAGTGGCAGGAGGCAGCTGTTGGGCTGGCGGGGAGAGACATTACAGTCACAAACGCCGACAATGCGTTGGAGGGAGCTCTAGCTATCAGGTACAGAATTCAAATTACATTGCACCAAATACGGCCTCAAGTTTCCCAAACAATGGTTGGTGGTATGTGTGAGGTTCTGAGTACTGTGTGTCACCCGCAGAAATTCTGCGGATGGGGGTGTGCGGATGGGCAGGGAGAAATATTCCCACCGCCCCTCGTGGATTGAACGTTGGTTTCACGGCCAGTGGTTCGACCGTTTCGGTGAAGTTGATCTCTCTTTTCCTGTTTGTCGCACTATTCCTACCCAGAATATCTCGCCACTGACAGCTGATCAATGGTTGCCGCTAAACGCTAATAGGGGCATCTGTATAAGTAACCGTAAGCGCGGGCATCAGTGACACCTAGGTTTCTTTTTTCAAACCCAAGCGCGGAGCGGGACTTTTAGAGTACCCGGAAAACCACAGAAACGTAAAGAGATTCGCGTGTCGACATCGAGACCAGAGTATTATTGCATTTTTATCCCGGGATGATAAGCTCCACTTCCAACAGTACATATCACCGCCGTTCGGTATGCTTGATCGAGGGTCGTGTTCTTGAGGATTGGTTTGGTCCTGTTTCGAGATGGAAATCTGGCAACGCTCCTTTCCCATGGCCAAAGATGGTTTGTGAACTCCTTGTGTTTGGTGGATCGGCCACCTCGTTCGCATACTCTACCAAACACTCGCATGCAGGGAGTTCGATGGATCCCTCGTTCGCCACGAGACGTTTGTCTTTCTGGACGTCGTTTGGCTGGCCAGAATCCTCAAACCCTTGCTCAACCACAAGGATGAAGAGACATTCGACGGGCTTGTGAACCTAGGAGACACAGGCGATACGCGTGTCACCCTCGAGGACCCATCGGACATCGCTTCGTGGGGCAGGCTCAAGAACGAGGGCGTGCTAGAACCCCGGTTGGCGCGAAAGCTGTGGCCTAATGGCCTGTCGGAGTATGTTATCCCCACTATTGCCTCCCTGGGTCTCACTTTCCCACTCGAAAACGATCCTGCTGGGGGCCTGGTAGTGCTGCTGCGGCTAGAACACGACCGCCCCGAGCTTGTGGGCAAAGTGATCGACACATTCTGCTTGGACCAAACCCCGGCCTTGAGGGCAAGTTGGAAGATTTTTCTCGGGGTACCGGCTGGTGCGATTGAGAAGGTGTTGACGCGGTGCTGCAGCCTCGGTGGCGTGCAGACGTTTTGGCGGTCGGGGGTGCTTGTGCATGGTGGCGTCGGCGAACAAGATAGGAGCGGGATATTTGCCGTGGTCTTGGAGTACTCGCCCTCGGACAATGAGCTAACAGCTCAGATTTTCGGCGATATCAGCACTCCAGCTCCATGGGTGGCACTTTCGTACGTCGTCTCAGCCGTAAGCTTGATGCTGCTGGATTTCCCAGGACTGCGCTCCAGGGGCTCTCTCAAATGTCCTCAGCATGGTGACGCGATGCCCCTGGCAAATATGGTGAGCTCTCAGAGCCTTGCGCTGTCTAATGACGCATGGTTGCCCTAGCCAGGGTGCACTTGTGTAAGCAGTTTGTGGGCAGTTCTGGGCGCAATCCTCGTTGTTCATACATTCACATGCGATTCGCATATGCATCTAATTGTCCGCATTTTTCGTCTGGTGCTCAAAATTGTACAATGAGTGGGGATCTAGGCGAGTTCTCCAGGGTGTGTGCAGTGTGTAACACTCTTTCCATGGAGTGTGCTTGGGCTAAACGCTTCCACATCGGGGCAGCGTAGCAAAGGGTATAAACACCGTCTACCTACGGAGGAAGGTTTGCGCGGGTGCTGTGCTGTCAGACAACAACACTTGTGTTGGCGTTTTCCCTTGGTGGCAATTGTTTTCCTCTAGTCTGAGTAGACAAGAATCCCTTGAGTCGCTTTTACTCATCACCTACGCACTACCGATGTACGGGGTTGCATCCCCCTTGCCAGGTAACTCGCACTGGTGACAAAATCCTGGAAGGCAGTAGATGCCGACAGTGCAGTCCCGACACGAGGGGACTCGGGGCTGCCGCCATCGATCTCGTGCGCATGGTAGACATCCGCCTGGACCGAGGTATGTACGGCAAGTAGAGAGGTTGGAGTAGTGGGCAGTTTTGTCTTCTGGCGGAGTCAGGCGTCATATTGTATTGTTTCTTGATCGACGTACCTTTCTTCTCCAATTCTTGAGTTAGTGAGGCTGAAATGCGCATTGGATACGCTGGATTCACGTTGTTCTCAGTCGCGTTTTTCGCCTTTTCAAGTTCGTCATAGCGGTTGATGTGTCGTGAGCATTTGGGGCAGAGAGGAGTCAAGGACAGTGCATCCCAATGAATTTGACCATACATCTAGCGTTGTTCAGTTTCGGCTAGTGTCATCACACCTCGCTGCCGACAAAAGGCGCTACCGCATGACGAGAATCATCCGGCGCGAATGTTAAGAAAGGATTGACGGGTAACGAGCTATTTTCCCCACCTGTGTTGTAAACGCAGACGTGATTTTCCGCGAGGTTAAGGCAAGGTTCGTCGACCTGGAGGGCCAGTACTCCTTCTCGAGCTCGACGGTGAGAACGGTTTGCATGTCCTCGACTGTTGATTTGGCTGAATGACACCTTGGAAGAGGTTTTGCCACAATACGTTCTCGATAGCTTCTTCGACCCGTACATTTCGGCGACTTTGAATACCTCACGCCCCAAACACGCTCTCCACACAAAGTGCTCTGCGACAACAGGTGCTGTCTCTTGGCTTTTCTATATTCACGATTGATATCCAAACGGCCCAAAGGTTGTTGAGGGCGGGTTGAATGCGATACAAGCAGGCAATGATAGCTCGCTCTCGCCTCGATCATTCGCTCCCTGCTCGAACGTTTGTGGCCCAACTCTGGTGTAGGGCATAAACCTCACTACGATGGAATAAGGTAGAAGCGGCAGTGCAACGAAGGGTACTATGATGCATATCCCAGCGTTCCTCTTCAGTGCACGGGTACTATATGGGAAGGTGTTGGTAAGGCCTGGTTCGTAGTACAATCACCACCTCGCCCTACCGGCAAAGGCGTTCCCTACACCTTGTTTGCGAGAAACGGTTGTGCCATATGTTGGGTTGGCAATTCGTACACAGAATGGAAGTCATAGCCGCTGACACTGCGTACGGTATCCCTGATGCAACATCGTGTTTGCGACAGGCGAGCTCCAATGACGAGGGCGTGCTGGTTCAAAAAATGGAGGAGGTGGCGAGAACTTTGAAGGATGGGTTTGATGACCTAAAGGGGAGGTTGAGCAAGGTTCTGGACAGCACCCAGGAAAGTCTCATGCGTCTCCAGACCTTACAGGCTCCGAACTACCCGTATCCTCGTCTTGTGGCCATAGAAGAAATCGCTTCTGGTGGCACTCTGACGAGAGCTCGAGGGATGAAGAGAGTGCTGAGCAAGCTTCGTGGCGTGGGTACGAAGGAGATGACCCTGCACTTCTTGTGCCCGGTCGACATGACCAAGGTGCCGTGCGGCTATGACGGGGACGGCTATCGTTTTCGGGAGACTCGTAGATGGGTCAAGAAGCTATCGCCTGTGCTCCAGGTAAGGGAACGTAGGCTCAGGCTAATGTGAGGCAACAGAATCGCCCCAACTTTCCTCCAGAGTCATTCGAAGTTTTCTACCTGTCTTACCTGAGGTTGCACGTCCAACGAGAATTTTTCTTCTGATTGCTATGTAGCTTGACTTATTCTTGTGGACCCGAACAATGCATCAAGACATGTCGAACAATAATGAGTTTTGATGAATATCTGCGCCTCGTTGTTGTGTTCATATGCGTTCCCTTCCTAGGTGGCCATGGTGACGGCGAAGGTAGCAATAAAGGCCACGTCAGGACTGGACGTAGACCTGTCGGACTTCCTCAAGGACGTGAACGATGGGTTGGTCGATGAGCTAGTCGACCGAATGCTCGACGAGGACGAGCTACGTCGTGTTGTATCGGGTGAAGAGGACGTCGGCACCGACATGCAGAAGCAAACGAGGGCCTCGTATGAAGCGCTGACAGAGCTCATGGGGAAACTGGAAAGACGTAAGGATGCCAGGGATGGTGATGGCTACGTAGACTTCAGGGAAAACATGCAGCGCCTATCGGACGGAAGGGGGGGGGAGGTATGGGTTCGGAACGAAAACGTTCAAAAATGGTTGGACTCACACTCGAGCGCTGCTCCATCGAGGTAGGGGCTGGTGCAGCAATACGCACAACCGACATATTGTCGAACCAGTGGTAGATTTATCTCTCTGTTGTACCTGGTAGTAGGAAGGATATAAAACGGAGCGCTGTGGTATGAGCTGCTGGGAGGCAGGAAGAGCTCGCGGGGGGAAGGGAGGACGGGGGGCGTCGAAGGCTCCGGCCCTAGTTGTCAAATCTTTGTATGGTGGAAGAAGAGCGTGTGACTCTTTTACTCATGGAGTGGAGATAGTTTATGATGAGGAGGCATTCTCGCCTTTTTTGTCTATGGCCTGCTTACATGAACAAGAGTTGCGTGTCGTGGTTGTGGTTCTTCTTTGGTCCGTGGTTGGTTGTGTTGTCGATTTCGCCCCTTGCTCCACGTAGGAACCACAGTGGAGGTGTTTCCGAGTCGCCGAACATCCCGTGGGGGCATTGCGGCACATTTATTTTATGGGCGGGAGGTGTAACGGTGTGTTTGAATTGAGTACGTTAGCGCAAACCTTGGCAGCCATGGTGAATCAACGATATATACGAACTACAGTACACTCTGCGGTTTGTGAAGTGCTGGACAGAAAAAGGTACGGTTGCAGAAAGGTGATAATAATTACTCCAAGCGATGCACCAGACTATGCAGCTTAGACTGTAGGGTAGCCCGTCCTGTAAGTGAAACCTCGTCGTTCGCCGTGCTGGTAGCCGCCTTCTTCTCGTCCTACCAGCGAAACCTCGCCCTACAGTGAAACCTCGATCGGCACACCGCTGCCATACAGCCATGTCTTCAACCACCGCCGCTGTCGTTAAGGCGAGCGGAATTCCCGACGTGGTCGTAGGTTGTGAGCGTGACGTGCGTACGCATTGCATATCTGCGACATTCTAGAAGTCGAGTAGTAATCTACAGACTACAATGTGGCGCTCGACTCGATCCGGTCGTTCGGTTTGGCGTCAAGGCGATAGGTTTTCAGCGACATCTCACTAGCATCGCACCACGATGGCGTGCTGTTTCGCCTTCCCTTTGAATCAAGGGCAGAGAACGAGGAGAAGAGTTGTAACCGAGACGGCGCGTGAAAACAACGTACAGACCAAAGTCGCACACAGAGATCAAAACCACCGGGATATGTGCCTTTAGCGAGTAGAAGAGGCGCCTCTCCGTTCTATGCGGTTTGGCTTGACGAAACTGGCCTGCAGGCTGTGCCTGCCTGTACGATCAAGCTCGGTCGACTTACGCCTGCTCCTCTTTTCGGTCCGCTCAACGGCGACCAACAGAAAGAGGGCGAGGGAGCCCTATCGTCGCCTGATCACCAAACAAACGCATCCGCAACGGTTTCATGGCTCACCAACTCGTAGTGAACGCGATTCTCATATCTTCCTTTATTTTACGTGAGGGGAAACCGGTACGTCCAAGCAGCGACACAGCAGGTGTCGCACCCGAACGCAGAAGAGAGGTGCTTGCGCTAAATACGTGGTGCGTATGCATATTGTAGCAGCACTCCAAACACGTTCGTGTTTCCCTTCAGTGCTGAGTTAGACACGCCCGTGTACATGCATCCGGCTGATCAACCTGCCGGAACGTGGAACGACCTCATCAACTACTATGCATTCGAGGAAGAAGACGGCCTATTATAGGTACGTAGCTGTGAGTATCGACTCAATGATAAATTGAAGTACACACGAAACACGTGCACCTTTCAAGCGCCGGCAAGTTGAAATAGTACCCAACTCGTGCACCGTTAGGTGCGTGGTGAAGTCGGCGGTGGATTCATCATCAATACCTGCTAAATCGGTGGTGTGACTGCTGTATGACAGTTCGTTTTAGTCGGTGGTTCGTTGCAAAACATGAAACTGCTGTGAAACTGCAACGTCCATTTGGGAGTCCGCAGATGGTGCTTTCTGTACGTACCACGTGATTGGTCTGTCGCTTGGCGCGGTTCCTGTGTGTGTGTGACGCATGAGTCCTGAGGCACACACACACAGATGCACGGCCCGGCCAGCTCAATCCAAGTAAGCGGGGTGAGACGAGAGTAAAAGGAACGGCTTATCGGAACTCTGGGTTCAGGGCCTTTTCAGTGGTGACGCTTGAAACGAGAGCACCAGTGGAGACTGTCGGCTGAACTCGGAGTACAGCTGCAGGAACACGACCGACTTTCTGCCCAAGCAGCATTCCTTCTCGGTGAGTTCGCGAAAGTACCCCATTCGAACAGCAGTTGTGGTGCATATAGATCCAGGAGTGGACCAAAGCAGGGTGTGCTAAGTCTTGGGCGTTATGACCAGTTCGCGGGAAAGCCGCCGGCGAAGTCTTGGTAGTGTTTGGTTTCTTAGCATTGTCAGTTTCGCGGCCAACCAATCTCTCCGCGTTATTCCGCAACACCCCTACAAATACTTTACACAGCTGCTGTTCGCTGCTGTTTGCCGGCTGAGTGGTTTGCCCAGGCTTCAGTGTTATGCTTACGAATAAAACTTCCATGGCACACGTGTTGCTTCCTATGAAATTATCTAGAGGCAATCAATATCGCGGAACCGGGCAGCGCGATTTTATCGGTTGAACACATTGAGGAACACGGGGGAGGTTTGTCCGAGGGCAACATTTAAATCACCCTGCGGGATAGTTGTCAACGATGTATAGTTTGGGATGAAATGAGGCCTCCGGCTACGGCACGGGATCCACCCATACTTCACCTTTCGGGTATTCATGATGTGTCGGTGCCTGATGTCTGATATTTTATCCCAAACTTCCGTAAATACTAGTACACTGAGTTTCGATAGCCGTTGGTCTATATCCCGAACGCAAACGTCTTCGCGAAGCCTTTTTGCAGTGGCAAATCCACTGCTTGAATGTACCGCTGCTCCTGCTCCCTCCGGTCCGGATCTCGCGGACGCTTAGCGGAGGAGCCCCCCCCGTGTGTCATGGAGCCTACGTATCGCTGGGCTACCATTCTCGTCTTCCCCCACACTAACTCCATAAGGGCTTTTACGGCCGTCCCTTCGAGGGACTGGCTAACGGCTCCTCCCACCCTAAAGGAGTGCATAGTATACAAGCCGTGGTGGTCGTTCAAACGGCCTTCCCGCATATGACTCTGCAGAGCCGCTGTCATGCGAGCTGCCGTCCACTGGGACGTCCCCCTCGAACCATGTCCCTAGATCTCGGGAAACAGGTACCCCTCACGCATATTCCAACCCACGGACTTCGCGACGATCAAAAATTCTTGTACCGCTCGGACCGGACACAGTTCGTTACACTTCTTATCCCTTTCGGCAGCGACTGCGTGTGACGAACTGCGGAGCGTCTTGCCAAAGTGAAGGTTGAAAATCATCCCTTGGCCTTCTGGGGGGCGCAACACCTGTGCTGCTAATGCGCATGCCAAATCGAATCCCCGCTGCATCGTGTACAAGGCGACTGCAAACGCCGCGACGTCTCTACTGCGAGCCACTCGCTCGCCCACGGTGTGTAGCTGGTCTGCTGTGTTGCGCATGTGCCGTCCGAGCCGCAAAAGGAGCGGAGCCAACTTGGGCCTGGCTTGTTTGACGGTACCTCCCGCCCGGCGCTGCTCGGTTTGGGCGTACGAGAGGTACCGACGAACGGCCGCGCTATCGGTCGCATTACCTCGCTTCTCCCTGTCGTCCCACGGATCAGACTTTCCTAATATCTCGACCATGGCTCTTTTGAGTTTCGCGACGAAACCTTTGTCCAATGTTTGGGCCGCGTATCTCTTCGCACACGCACTTCCCGGACTACAGGACTCCAACGAATTTGACCCGATCGCGACACAATCGACTGCATGAACCACCTTCGTGCCGTTACCGTGAGAATCCAACCAGCACAACCAGTCATGTACGTCGGCGTCGGTGGCGCTCTCCCACCCCCGACTCCATGCCGTGTGCGCTCTCAGAAACGCGTCGAACTTCTCCGCCACGGCGGATTTCCGGCTTTGCCCTGCTGTATTCGCGGAGGCGACCTGGACGACTTCTTTGCGTGCCGCCAGTCGATCGGCATCGATGACCACGGTTGCCCTGGGAACACGCGGCTCTAAAAAACCCCGAAACGGCTTTACCCCGCAATGTTGACAAAAAATGAACGTCGCTTCGTTTTGTGCCCCACACGCACTACACAAGACTTGTGGACCCGGGCCGGTGCGCGCGTGGCCCCGGGGGGGATGCGCTGTAACATCCCCTGGTCATGATGCTGATGCCATACGGACGAAACGAACGATAACGAGGAAGCAACACCTGTCAACTACTATACAATATGGTTTCGTAAATGACGAAAGTCCAATTCTACCGCTCGCATTCCGTGTCTAACTTAAACGTATTCGCGCATACCGTCCTCATGGTGAGGATATCCAAACCTCCCCCGTCTCGGCAACACGGCGATTTGACAGTAGCTCGCCCAACTCGCGGTAGCCAATACTCGTGCACATCCGATATCACGACTACGGCGTGGGCCCGGCGTTCGGCGAGATGCTGGATAACATGACCCACCATGACTGGGGGTGGGAAACAGTACCCAAAAGCCGGCGTGCCCAACCCCGGTGTAACCGCCACATCCTGACGTAAAACATCTACACCCGCCGTTCCTTCGCACGAGTACCGCGAGAAAAACGGTGGTCGGCACTTTGCCCCTGTGCCACGCTCAACCTTATACTGGGCGTTCTCGGAAGACGCCATAAGGTCTACTGTGAAGTCGCCAAAAAACTGGTGCAACCTCTCAAACGCTGCCGGTCGGAGACAGACGATCTCTTGCCTCCCCGGCCGCGTAATGTTATCAGCGACTGCGTTCTCCGCCGATGGCACCCACCTCAGGGTGAGCCAGAAACCGTGTTCGACCTGCAACTCGAAAAGACTAACCAACATTGCATGCGTAACTGAGTTGCTCGACCGCCCTTTCCGAAACGCATCGACGGTAGCTCTATTGTCGACGTCCATCAGCACCTGGGCCCGCCTGAGCTCCCCCGACCGTTCGCGACAGCACTCCTTCAATACTTCGAGCAGCGCAAATATCTCTTTGCCGTTAATGGAACGCGGCAACCATTCCGGGGGAAACCCCCCTCCTGCCGAGAAACGACCACTTCGTAGCGATACGACGCCGCCATACTGATTAGACGACGCGTCCGACGACGCTGTCGCGATGGAAACGTCGTAGGTGTCGCGATTTATACCACGGCCCCTCCTGCGACGTGGACGACAGGTTGAGCCATATGCGCAGCTCCGCGCGGAGGTCGTGCTTATCTTTCAACTGAACCACGCGGCCCTTCGCCTTCTTAATCGCTGCAAACATGCAGTGGGTCCAAAGAGACGCTGGCCTAATCGCCACCGACATGCTGACGCATTTTCCAGCGATCTTCTCCACCATTCGTACCGATACCGATCCGTCCGGATGATGTTTTTTTTTTCAGCCACCGAGCAGAGAGGTTTGTCCGAGTATGATTTGTTTGGTTTGTTTGTTTTCGTCCTTTTTATGATGGCGACAGTCCCCCCATTTTTCGTGGTGAGGCGTGTACTACACGTTCCTATGTGGAGTGTACACTTTTCAGTGTATTTGTTCGTACAACTACAACCATCCAGGGTACACAGGAGGGGGTAAACACCAGGGCTTTTTGCTTCTTCTTATTTACTTTCGTGCCCCACCTTCCTCCTGCGGTGCGTGCTGAATTATTTTATCGCAAGAAGGGTGTTGACGTCGAAGTTTGGTATATACGCGGTTTAGCTTTTCAGCTTTTCCAGCATGTTTTTTTTTTTCACTCCATGGGGATTCGACCTCACGACCTTCGCGATTGGCGGATCCAAGGTTACCACTAGACCACTGGGCGACCGGTCCTTTGTGGGATCGGTTTAGTTTGGTCCGTGGTACAAGTATGCATATAAAAAAACACGCAAAAATCGTGGCCTGGACGGCCCAACGTAAAAAAAACAAAAAAGACCGAAGTCAAACGGATATCGGATATCCGTGCAAGTATACGGATGTCCTGTTAACGGAGGTCCTGCGAATCGTGAAATTTGACTTCAAAGGTAAACCCTGCCAATTCACCAATTAAGCACCAGTGCCCAGATCGATACGTTGTCGACATTACGTTCATGGAACACGTACGACAAGCAGCAGTTGATTCCTCTTTTGCCTCTCCTGCTGAAACTTGTGGTAAGTTGGTAACATCCGGTGGTTCATCTATCTATCAGGAGAGTGCCGTAATTCCGTGTGGCCCAGAGACTTTTTGTGTCAGTTATTTTTTATTTTTGCACCAGACGACGATCTCTGTATACCCTACCCCTACATGTCTAGAATATCCTTGTCCTTTCGTTCTGCTGTGGACCGTAACCAGAAGAGAGCGGCGAGAGAGAAAGATATAGAGGGAAGGTTGTAGAAAAAATGTCTACTTGCATGGTGTGGCGTCGGTCGGAATGCGAGTTTCGTGGACAAGTGTACCGATCAATGTCGAAGAAATCGCGCGGTTGATTGTGGCGACGATATTTTTTTGCTTTTCTCCATTGCTACATCTGCACACCCACAGCAGTTGAGCCCCGATGGCATACCGCAGGAAAAAAATGCACAAACCGCTGCAGCTCGGCATGTGCCCCGGCACTCACTCGCCCTGGCACGGAACCTCGCGCCCGAAGGTTGGGCGTAATCGGAGGCATGGAGCCCGTGTGCGACAACCCAGGCCCCTGCGCCGAAAATTCTATTTAATGATTCAAACACCCCATGCGATCACTCGGACCTGTTGCGTTCACGTGTACTTTTGAGGTAGGCTGCAAGAGGGCTATTCCACACGACAGCGATGCTTATACGGTTCATTGAGATCCGGCAGTTTCGTGTGGGACGTTGCTCAGATTACGAGTTGCCGCAGGACGGCGTTCGTATGGCTGTGCAGCTGATGGTAAGAGAGTCGTCATCTCCAGTATTCCACCAGGCAGAGTATGGAATTATGTTGTCTGAAGATCGCTGGACGCAACACTCTGTTGTGCATCAGTAATTGACGACCAACCATGACTGATGATTTCTATTCGCTCAGGTTTTCTCAAGAATGGCTTCGACGGATCTTGATGCGCTGGTTGCCCTGTTTCGCTCGACTGGCGGGGCTAGATGGTGTGAGAAAGACGACGGGGACATTGCTGCTGAGCTTGCAAAATGGTCCGGCGTCGATCTCAACGACGAGGGCCGTGTGGTGCAGCTTTTTCTGAACGAAAACGACCTCCAAGGTGCTTTTGCTGTTGATGCATGCTTCTGCCTAGAGATAGATTTGCTTGACGAGCCCCAGGAATTCATGGTCGGAGAGAGTGACTGGATTTGCTGCATGCCATGTATCTTGAATACTTGCGTGTTAGACGTTAAACACACCTTCCAAGCTGATACTTACGAGATGTGGTTCGTTCGAAGCCTTGGGTTTCCCAGCTCGTCCGGTAAGGCCTCGTTGCTAGCACGAGATACGTAGCCAGGCAACAAGATTGGTTTCCCAATATATTTCTGCATGTGCAGGCGCCATCCCCAAGAAGCTGGGAGTCCTTGCCCTGCTCGAGATTCTAAACTTGGGCTCCAACAAACTCACAGGTGGGAGGAGTCGATTACGAAGTGCTCTCCCGAGTTGTAGAGAGCTTGCATAGCGAGCTGCTAGAACAATGGGGATACTGGATAACGTGGCACTCACCCGTGCGTTGGTGGGAGTATTTTCCGCTGACGCCTTCTACAACGCATGCTCAACTGCGTGTTGGTGAAACATTGTAGCAACCGGTTCCTCACCTGTAAGCTTGGTGATCTAGAGAAACCTGCAGGTTTTCCTTAACTCGAGCACATCATGTCTTCTTGCTGTACTTGAGCAGGAAATGTCCCCCACGGGCAAGCACTCGTGATCAAGCAGTAGGCACAGGCCACATGTTGTAGTCTGCGAAGTCGTGGGAACTCGTGGGAGTGCCATACATGCCCGCGACCTTTAACCCTATTTTCCGATATCCAATGCCGTGCAGGTGCAATCCCTGCGTCGCTGGGACACCTCGGTAGCCTGCAGCAGCTCTACCTATCTGGAAACGAGCTAACCGGTGAGGATCTCCGACAAATTCGGCTTGCACGTCGTCGAAGGTCGCAACATTCGTTAACTGAGCCAATGCTGCTTTCGGTAAACGCTTCTAGAACAGTTCTACTTGGCAGTATTAGCCTACTGGCAAATTACAATACAATTCATCTTGAAGAATTCTGAGAATACCAAGACGCGTGCAACGTGACTCGGCGCCAGCTGGTTGTTGCTAAGGACGGGGTATTCCAGCGCTGCAAGGTCCTTCAACTCAGGCGGGATGGTACCTTTAGAAAACCAAGAGCCACGAACTTGGCGGGGAGTAGAGAAAATTCATCACCCGGCTTATTGAAGATGTGGTGGTGCGTGAACCCTGTGGCAGCTACATTCTACATGTCCTAGAATCTTGACGGAACCTATGTGCTAGATTTCTTTTCCCTTTGTTCTTGCAGCTTTTAAGCTGTCCCGTGGTATTGCGTTGCTTGTGCAGGACACATCCCCCCGGAGCTGGGAGATCTCAGCAACCTGCAAGTTCTTGTGCTGTCATCCAATCAGCTTTCCGGTGAGATTCGTGAGCTTATAGCAGACTTGCACTGCTGGCTCCCCTAACATTGACGTGCTCAGCACCGCATAGGTGAGTACATTGGTGTACTTCTACAACATTCCTCGCCAGAAGACTGGTTGTTGCCAAGCAGAAGCTCCTCAGATGGCTTAGAAACCCCAACTTCTTGGGGATGGGTTCTGCTCGAGCATTGCAGCAGTATGATGGTACGAAAATAGGATCGCGTCACCAAGATTGCCGATTTCTGGCACAGCCAAAACTCACCTGAGTGTGGGCGGGACGAGATATACATATGTAGATCGATGCTCTAGAAAAATATATTGCTTTATTGTTTTTCTTTCGAATTGCCTTGATTTTTATTTTCTGTGGCCTACGGAGGGAGACTTCCCCCGTACCACACGTCCCGCACGGCACAAAGCCTCCGCGGTATCCTAACGTGTCTCTGCTACTAAACACAAATTTCCCCCCGAGTACCACGGGACGAAACTGTTGTACAGTAGCAGTCCCAGCCTCCCAATGGTGCGCTACCATTCAGAAAACAGAAAACACCCCATGCTACGCAAACTTGCTTCTACACGGCAAAGGTGGCTCCTCCGAGTCACAGAAAATAATAAGAGGCCTCTTCAAAGTGAGCCCTCACTCGCAACATCTCTCCTATCCCCCACCTTCGAAAGAAAAGGGGTGGGTGGGCGGGAGAAAAGCCACGACATGATTGCTAGCTATCGTCCAAGTTTCGATGTAGCTAGCTGCTGCCCTTCTGCCGCGTAACCCTCCAAAGCGGGCTGCATGGTACACATTGTGTCTTTCTCGCAACGTGGCCCTTGGGTCCAGTGGACAAGCGTCTATCAAACCCTTGCCGCAGGAGCAGCGAGGCAGCAGAATGATAACTCCGTGAGAACTTTCTCTTTTTGGGACCCCAGAAAACCGAACCAAGACATCCGAACCAACGCGCCTCCAGGGCGGCACAACAAGAACCCAAATACACACGTAGATCTGGGAGATGTTCCGGATTCTTCCGTGCACAATAAACTACAGTTTGTTCGGTCTTCGACAACAAACGTTCATTTGTTTAACGATATCACCCATGAACTGAACAACCCTTCCATCGCCCAAAATACCATGCAGGCGAAATCCCGGCGTCACTTGGACAGCTCGTCAAGCTGGAAACTCTCTCCCTCGACCGAAACAAACTCAGCGGTAGGTGTCCCCCGACCCCTTCGGTGTGTACACGCCACACCAGATATATTGGATCCCGCCTCCCGCCGATGCAAGACGGGATTCATGCATGTTGCTTCTAAAGAAGTCGAAACAAACAATTTCGCTGTGCAAACTGCTTGGGTCAACGTACAACTCGTTGTAGAGGTAGAGGCGCTACGACGCCTTTATATTTTCTCGCTGCGGTGGGATGCGTCCTGTAGATGTGCGTGTCAAAGCTAGGCATATTTATCGTTGGAATTTCGAAGAACAACTCGGTCACCCTCGAGAACATCGCCTACTCATCCACTCACGCGTAGGCGAGTAACGCCAGGACCTTTGTGAACGCCGCCCGCCAAGTGAACAACCCCCCAGACAAGAACACAAAGTACCTTTGGTGCACGAAAAAAATTGGTATTGCCCCGGTGATAACGTGTTTTGTTTTTGGCTCCCCTTGCTTGAACGCCCCGTGTTTCTGTGTGACCGTTCCCGGGGCATTCACGCGGCAACCCAACGCCTTGCAGAGGTTTGCTGCTGCTGTTTTATTAGTTTTATATAACCGTTCCAAGACCTCAAACTGGAGCACCAACGGGCTCCTGCTGACACAGACCCAAGTGTGCTGCCGCCCTTACTTCGGTTGTCGAATGTTCTATCGTACATGCTGCTTTTGGCCAACATGGTAGGTTCCAACGAGAGAGGCACACCCTAAGAATTTGTGTTTGCGTGTGTCCTGGGGAGGCCCCAAACAGAAAATGTGATGGACGTGGAGACCAAGGGCCTTTCGTCCGTAGCGGTGATCGTTTCGGTTGTGTTGTCATGCCCCTCTACCTTTGCAAGCGCTCATCCCGGTGGTATTTTGGCACGGAACCTTATTTTTCGCCCCCGATGCATTCACTCGTTCTTGAAGTCTGTTTTCTCCGTGGCGCGAAACACAATGTAAGTAAAAGATTACGGCTGTCACTTGAGCAGGACAGATCCCCGTGGAGCTAGAAGCTCTCCGCGAGCTGAGGAAGCTCATGGTCGAAGACAACCAGCTTTCTGGTGAGGAGCGTGTGAGTAGCGTTGCTTTCGTTGCTTGGATGCCTGTACGTAGGTGAGAAATTCCCGGGAAATGCAAAACGTAAGGAGAGCAAAGAACGGAAAGCCTCTCAGCCGCGCGTGGGTACGAAGGCTGCAGGTAACGCACTGGCGATGGTGTATCTTCCCCGCTATTTTATCATTTCCTCGCTCATGCAGGCCCAATCTCTCCGAAGCTGGGGAAATTGGCAGCACTGCAACACCTCGTCCTTAGCAACAACCATCTTAGCGGTGAGTCAACACGCACAAGTGTCATGAAATCCTCAGTGGCATTTCTTGATGAATTACAACCATTTATTTTTTCGGAATATATATATATTTTTTGCCCACGGGTCGCGTAGGTGAGTGAGTGTCTGATAAGCGGTTGGTGGGACAAATTTTAGCCATCGCGTAGGTGAGAAGGCCCCTGCTTCGCGCTCGGTCAACAAAAACTAAACTTTGCTCCATGGTTTGTTTTAATCTGCTCGTGCAGGTCCCATCCCCACAGAACTAGGATCTCTGAGCGCGCTCCAGCACCTGTGGCTCGACGGCAATCAGCTTTCAGGTAACGTTCTGGTGGACGTCGAGGGCATCCTGGCCGACATATTTTCGAAGCTTTCTAATATACCGTAAATTGCGGAGAGATGGCACCTGTTGCGATCATTATTATTGTTATTTTCGCACCCTGGTGTGATCTCTCCGGCCGGTGCCATCTCTCCGACCCCGGTTCGGAAGGCAAAGTATATCTTTTAGTTTTGAAGACATCCCGGTGCGATCTCTCCGACATGGGCGCCATGCCCAACTAAATTCACACAGCGGCCCTACTACTGCTACGGCGGTGTTGTTTGCACGCCCCCCGGTGCCATCTCCCCGGCCGGTGCCATCTCTCCTCTTGTTACCGTAGACGGAGTTGTAAAACCTTGCTATGGCTGACAGTACGGTAGACACAGATCAGTCGAACGTTTTTTTTGTTTGTACGCTGTGGGCGCATCACACCTATGTGTAGGTACCGGTAACGGCAACGGACGCTGGTACGTATGCATAGCAGCTTCCATGTAGCGAGTGGTCATGGTTCTGTGTGTCAAGTGTTGCTATGGCGTGACAAGGACGGAGAACGACGATGTGGTTTCCATCTGGGGTGTACCGGTACCTATTGTATCAGTTTGCAAGAGTACATTGGATTTCCTTGTGTAAGGTAGGGTAGGTTGCAGCTTGTATGATGCGCTTGGTTGACACCGATTACATGAAACATTTGACATGCCGCGTGAAGCGACCGTACATACATACAGTACAGGAGTAGCGCCCCGCTGATATCGTCACCACATGTAAAAGGTACAGTACCTCTTTTCGGGCAGCTCAAAAAGAGTCCAATCTTGGATTTGGGGGTCGGTGAGTGTGCGATCTCGCCCGGCCCGGTGCAGAAATCGAATTGAATCAATGCCGTTCTTGCTTCTTTTTTGTTTCCGCACCCCGGTGTCATCTCCCCGACCTCTGCCATGTCTCCACCTCTTACGAGTGATGTACCTTATTCACTTCGTGGAGTTCACTCTCTCTTTCCTCCCTTTGGCTGAAGGGCCCATCCCCAAGGCGCTGAGATCTCTGACCAAGCTGGAGACGCTGTGGCTCTCAGACAATCACCTCACTGGTGAGGAGCGATCCAAGGAACACATGCCCCCGCCTCTCTCTTGTAGGGTGGTTGGGTCCAGCGCAAGCTCCTAAAATGGCCCTGCATAAACCAACATGGAGAAAGCTTCTAGAATACTTCTGGTACGTATTTGCGTGCACGTAGGAAAGCCTTTAGTTTCCCTCCGCTAAATCTATAGTTGCACTTTCCCTGCAGGCCCCGTCCCTCCGGAGCTGGGAGATCTCGGAACACTGGGATGGGTCAATTTTGCAGATAACAATCTGAGCGGTGAGTGTTACGTGTTGTTTACTGGACAGATCTGCAGAGCTTACATGTATATAAGCCCCACACACGCGCAGGTGGGGTCGATGTTCTAGAAAATACAGAATGGCGTGCTACTTTTTTTCCACTGAAGGCTAATTTTGTCCGAGCGGTAGCTTCTCGGGCTTGCTGAGAATTTCGCATTCGAGACGGGTTTATGATTGCGCCACTGGGTATTTCCGGTGTGATGAGACATGCGTGATTCCACCGGCTTTAGTGTTCGAATTGTGCCGTATCGGTCCTGCCGACGCCGGATACATGTTCTAGAGATCGATGTGGAACAACTAGAGGCCTCCGTACCTTCGAAGGTTCTGTCCTGGCCTGGGTATCAGAAGAATTCCTAAACAAGAGAAAGGTCCGTTTCATTCATCCCGTTGAGTTGTTGTGGTCAGCGAGCGTTCTGAGGAGTTGGTACAGTGCGTGTGTCCATCGAGCACTTTGCCGAAATGACTCCGTGGTTATGTATGGTTACGTGCAAGCTGGGTTTTCTTCGTGTTCTTTGCCTAGTCCCTGTGTAGGGCTACGAAAGTCGGGGCACCTAGTGACTCCCAGAAATGCGAAGTTTTTCGAGAGCACCACACTAAATGTACTCCGTGTTGACGTGTGTGTTGTGTGGTGAAGCTTGGAAAATAAGTTGAATTCATCCCGTTTTTGGTATAACAGATTGCTCGCCCATATTTTCTGCGACACTTCAATAGCTTCAAACAGGCGAACTATATCTATCTCGGTTTCCTGGGCTTATTCTCGGGGTCGGAAATCCTTGACCTGAATTTGGTGTTATCCTGAAATCCCCTGCGCCATTGTTTTACGGGCTTGTTTCTCACCAGGCATGTACTACCATCGCTTGCAGTATGTATCCTACGGCCTTTCCCTCTACGATCGAGCCTCGATGTAAGGTTCCTAGGAAGATCCTCGGTGCTCGCCTTGATCGTCATCAACGGTTACAATTCAGCAGATCCATCTCTCACGTGTAGACACGAAACAAGCGCTTTCGACAGCTAGACACGAAATCGAGGTTATTTCCCACCTCGCTCAGGGTTTGGACAAGCGATCTACGACGGCCGCAGAAGATTCTCCAACTTAGCGAATGGGCATCGCGGTGACAAGCGTATGCTTGCAAGACACGCGCGGCACTTCGGGAAAAATCACATCCACGTACCATTTCGAACCCTTGGGAGCTGCACCCTACGATTCGGGGGGAAGTCTAGTTCGCCGAGGTGTTTGACATCTGTAACGTTGTAACGTTGTGTGCCTTCGAGGGCCAGACGGTGTCTTTCGAGGTGCCATTAGACAACAGGCCTGACCAACGTCGCATGATCGCCGGCTTCGCCCCGCTCGTCCGTCCGTATGTGCTCTGCTAGTTATGCTCCAATTTGGTATGATTTCCTGCTCGATATACTCTTTTTGTAGTCCTGCAAAAAAATTTCGCCCGCCAACGGGTGAGTGCCACGGGTGGGATGTTTCTGTCAGCGTGCGAGCTGCTGCCCAGAGATGAGCCTGTTAACGCTGACCCTGTTTGCATTTTCCCTGAGGCTCGATTGGGCTGTTTGCGTTTGTGTCTGGCTGGCTCTTTTGCCTCGCTCGACAGAACTCTGGGACCACACCCAACACATTCAAGACATTGGCCACGCGATGGGGGCTTCCAGTATGCCAGGTGCGCCAACACACCGTATGCCCGGCGGTGTCTTCGACACAACCAGTGTCGGTCTGCGAGTGGGCCTACAATTGTAGTTGGCGCGGATTTGTGTACCTCATTCGCTCACAAGTACTCATTGCACAGGTTGTTCTCGATTCCGCCGGCAGTGACGGATTGCTCGGCGTCTCAAAATTGTGGGTGATTAGCAGTTTACTGCTTTTAAGCGGGCGCAACCTCTCTTTGGCAACAACAATTGCCCTGCGGGTACAGTAGGGGGCCCGATATAAGGCGGTGTAGTGCGTGGTGAAGGAAACCGCCTTATATCGGGCAACCGCCTTATACACGGTCTGACATTGGCCCAATAGGGCGGTGACCGCCTTATTTAAGACAAATGAAGAAAGGAGGTTTCAGCGTATTGGGCATCACCTCACGGCGCGTCGCTGAGTGGAAGAAATGGTCACGCGTTATGCATTCACGCGTGTAGAACGAGCAAGATTGCTTGCACTTGTTTGAGTATTGCTTGCAGCGGTGTGTACGTGTACATCTGATGCCGTACGACCCCGCTGGGAGTGTACAGCAGAATGTACATCTGCATCCAACAATGCCGCTGCACAAGGCTCTGGTAGAGTAGACGAATAACGTGTCCAAACAAACACTTCTCTTCGGTACTGATGCGAGGGACACCGAATATTTTTCCTTCGTGAAGAACAAAACTTAAGCTAGCCAACATGGACGCACGCAATAGTTGGAAAGCAATCGTGGCACCGAAAAACATTTGTATTCGCTGCGTCCATGACGCTTGGCCGGGTTAAGCACTGCTTGCCCCGGCGCTTGTACCTCTGAAAATGCGACCACTCTTTGAAGCACGCCCTGCTCTATGAAATACAACAGCTGAGAAAATCCGTCTATCCGCCTACAAGAACTCTCTCATGTCCGACTGCCGCACGGGTTTAGACGCGTGAGCTTTGATCATCGCCATTTTGGCCTTCTGAAGGTGGAAAACGGCTTCGCGATTGCCGGACTCCCCCGCGGCCCTTTCCAGAGAGCCGAAGTGTTGGGAGAGTTGGCTCAGTGCATGCTCCGGGCCGACGGCGTGTGTGCAAAGAGTGATGTGTCCGCGCTCGTTCGCATCGAATTCCTCCGCGTAAAACAATACGGTTTCGTGCGGCCGAACACAGAACGTGTGTGCGCGCCTATAGTAGGGTTGTATTCCGTTAAACCAGGGCGTTGTGTTGACCACTCCTTCAGGTGTCTTGGGCCACAAAGGTACAGGTGTTTCAGAGAGGGGCGTAGTGATGTGAAGATGATCACCGCCTTGTATCGGATTTTACTTGGGTAGTTACCGCCTTGTACGGGGAGATTGCCTATATAAGGCGGTGCCGCCTTCTATCAGGTCTGAGTTGTGTGCGCCAATTTCAGCCGCCTGATATCGGACAACCGCCTTATTCACACCGCCTTATATCGGGCCCCCTACTGTACCTGATAGATCGCCTCCTCTCTACGCCCACTGCACGATGTGCTGAGTAGCTTGAGTGGGGACACAAGACATCGCCAGGTTGTAGCTTCCCACCGATGGCTGGAGCGATGGTAACAGTTCCTCCAATTGGCATGCTGCTTGTTGGTCGGCAGGTGGGCATATTCCAGGCCAGCTGTGCCGGTTGCTTGACATTCTAGATCGTACGCGTGCCATGGGGACATTTCCTGGTCTGGATGGTAACCCGTGGGCTGAGCCGCCGGAGTCCATCGTGGCGAAAGGCCCGAACTGGATCAGATCTTACTTCAAGGATCTGTATGCTGAACCCTGTTGGGTCCAGCGCAGCAGCGTCAAGGTTGTGATCGTCGGACAGGCGGGCGCAGGAAAAACAAGGTTGGTGACGTGATGATCCTGCTCGTGCTCTGTCGCACCGAGTGTTTCGGGCTGAAGTCTTTCCGCACAATAGCAGCAGTTGACGGGGTGATATCATATCATTTACTTGGCACAGAAGCAGACTGTTTTATCACAGCGGGTGGTTTTAGCCATACGCCATATCATGGTCTTGTATTTTGCGCATGTCGCCGCTCAAACCATGCCTTGCAACATCATGCTGGAAAGGGACTTTGGCAAGAGACATCACGACGCCCCGCATTCGGGTGCTTTGGAAATCCGAACAGTGACACCTGCATGCTTTACCCCGACAACACTCTTCCGACATGCTCTCTCTGCTTCGCATTGCCAACCTGTTGCAACTCACCCTCACCTCGCACAGCTTGCGCCAGAGCATGAAGGCCAACAAGGCAACTCCTACGGCCATGTGGAATGAGGAGAGCACAGTTTTGGCTGACGTGGAGCCCATGGAGCTAGGAGGCTCATCAGTTCGGGTGTTCGATTGCGCAGGACAGGTGAAAGCGCTTGATAGAGTCGTTGCTTGAGACGTCGCCCTGAACGACTTGTCATGCGCCGTATACGTGCGAGTGTTAGCGCCTAGGTGCAGCGAGTCTTGGCGGGCAAGCGCAGCCATGAACTCGAACCAATTCCTTGTTTGTCCTCCGTAGAGAATGTTGTTGACGTGGCGCTTGACAATATGTAGTACCTCATACTTCTATGTCATCACCTACGCGTTTGTTGTACCACGGGCATGAGTGAACCACGTACCTCCTGGGTGATGTAAAGTCGGGTGTCAAAACTGTTTCGGGCTGAGAAAAAGCGCAGAGTTTCGTGATTCATTGCGCCGCTTTCACGACTTTGTTTGTTTCTTTAGTGCTTGCCCTTGATCAGGGGAAGCCGGACGGTGCTGTTTCTCCACAATATTCCACGTCTGTTATTACAACATGTAGGCTCGGAGATAGATTTGCGTGGTTTACAGGAAGCGGGACAAGGTGGTGCAACTGGAGCATTGTCCTCAATCGTTTCCCATCACATGCGGAGTGGATCGGAGACCATTTTACACCCCTGATGTAGTCTTTGGTAGCTTCCCTATATTCCAGCTTTCTTCGACTTGGAGCTGGCTTGTACCTTGAGCCTTAGAATGTAAATTGATTGTACAATCTTTTTGGTAACCACTGAGTGTTGTGACAATAGAGGCTTATCGCACAAAACGCGCGTTCGACAGGATGCCTACGCGGGGCTGCTGTAGATGTTCCTGACACCACGGTCTGTTTTCGTGCTAGTGTGCAACGCCGAGGCGTTCGAACAACAGCGAGGTAGCGATCATGATCCGTTCGAGGAAGACTGCCGCAAGCTGGAGGAATGTGTGTTCAAATGGTTGCGATCGATATCTCGACGCGTTCCCGACAGCAACATCATCCTCGTTGCTACCAAGTGTGATTTGGTGCGAGGCAAGGCTGTTGACGTTGGCAGAAGATTGGAGCAGGCCAGTCAAATGTTCCTGAACAGCTGGGTCCGCGATGGTATGAAGCCCGTGCAGTTGGAGCATGGTGTTTGCCTCACGAGCTGCTCCCCGACGGCCATTGGTGAGGATGGGGAGACAAGCACCGGAAACCACGCGTCGGAGGATGGTTGGCCGTGCGACTGGCGGGAAGACGGATACGATAACCCGTCGACCAGTTTGCTCCACCGGCTCGTTAACAAACCCGACGGGGGTGGTCCTCGAGGAGCTCAGATGGTACTTCCTCGCAGCTGGGGTATCGCCCTCACCGTACTTGAAGCTCTCGAGATTGGACGGTGAGCTCGAATTCGGTTTGACGCATGCGCTCCACAGTGACTTTACGGTATGCTTGTGGACCGAACCGGGGGTACAGTGGTGACTACATAGGACAAGTAGCACCCCCTATTCCGCTGGGGGGGGGGGGGGGGGTGAGAACTGGCCATGAAACATCACAGAATATTTTCTGTGAGCTTGCACCGAGCATACGTTAGTGATGAAGTTAGCCCCCCCCCTCCATTGATGGAAGCCCTTCCACGCATTTCAGCACCTTTTACTCGGTAAAGGGACTGTATAGGCACGCCCCACATGAGTGTGCCCACAGTACACCGCGAGTTCAGGCATGGGGACAAACGGAACTACATCACGGCACTCTTATGGCCAAGTGTAAGCTCAACCGTTGTTGAGATCTGCATGAGGAGCTGCCGACAACAAGCTTGTGGCCCGGGGGTGCCCGCCGTATCAGTGGTTTGTAGCACCGAACGTGCATTTTACCATGAGGTTCAGTGTTGTTGTCTTCGCGTTAGGTACGTCCTCTTCCGCATTCTTAGAAACGTACCGCCGTGATAGACCCAGATAACAGATTGCTAGCTCCTGTAGCAAGGAAAATGACAAGTCCAGAAAGACATCACACAGGGTAGGGCAGAACAAGGCCATGCAATGCAGAAAGTGAGCACAGAATACTCTGCCAAGTGTGCCTGTGGAAACCCTGGGAACCTCGACCCCCACTCTCTCGCCAAACGGAGACTTATGATTTCGAGGTCGATACGTCGTGATTGCTTTCTGGGCGACCCTCTCGTTGCGTTGGTGTATATTTTTGTGCATCACTTGGGTTTTTTATGGTGCTTCGGCACACCCTCTCCTGGCAGTGGCAATTTTCTCTCACGCTTCGTTCTGAGCTTTTTTTCGCGGGGACATATTCCGAATGACAAAACCTTGACAAGGAATAAAAATATCCAGCAGGTACATCTGTGGGTGACAGATAACATTTCACTATGATCCGTGCAAATTGTGGTGTAAGTTTAGGTTTTGTGCGACGTTTTTTTATGGACCTAGATATAGTGTCGTGATCGCCTCATCGAGCTACGTTGATACAGCTGCAAATTTTGTTGTTTTCTTTGAGGAAATGCAACATTTTTCGGAAACAACGTGGTTCACGGAACAACGTATATCAAGATGGTGCTTTACCCTAATATCACCATGTAGCCCCCTAATTTCACACAACGGTGCCCCCAATTTTTCGTTTGAAATTCCCCTGCGTCCGCATCACTACTGTATAGAGAATTGCCACGTACTATAGAGATCTACGAAACGAAAAATCCTGCCCGCAATCCACGAATACATGATACGATTATGGAGTTTTTAACGTATTGACCTCATACGCATAGCATCGAGTATGCCTACATGGAAAAGCGTTACGGGAGAGAAAATCCGCCGCAGCCGTTGTAGCTCATGTTGCGGCTCTGCTGGCGCATATGAAATGCGATGGCCTGCCGCTCCTCACAATGCTTTTAGGGCTTTTGCTGATGTGCTGATTGTGTGTGCATTTTTCATTATTAGCATCGACCGCGCTAACCGGCTGACCCATGACGAGAGACTCAACGCGGTTGAAAACACAAAACACTTCTAAATACCATTAACTGGGACCCCGTGGCGGGGCGGCACGGGGGAGGCTAAGCAATTCCCCGGATGAAAGACAGAAACGGTTGCAACGGAGAAAAAGTGCACGCGTCTACCAAGGGGTTCTATCTTGCACTCGAGTTCGTTTTGGAGTGCTTTCACCATCATCCTCCTTGCTTTCACCACCATCATTCTCATCATCATTTTTGCAGCAATTTTTCGGCAGTTCTTCTCTGGCCTTGCGTCGTTTGTTGTGGTGAAAGTCATCTGGCTCAGAGCTGTCTTCCACGCCATGATTCCCTCCTCGATTGCTGTCTTGGTCTTTGTCTCGTCCTCCCGTTCCCTCTCCTTCTCCTTCATCGCTCCCAAATCAATTCCCCTCACTGCCGTCATCATCGTCTTTGTCTGCGCACTACTACTGAGATCCCAACCTATTGGCCGTGATGGAAATTGATCGATGCGTCGTCCATGGCGTTTGAAACATCACAAGTTCGTACTGACAGAAAGCGAGCCAGCTCGAAGGAACACCATCTCCGAATCTTGTTGGTATGATAAGCCTTCAGGCGAAGCAAGGCTGCTTCGTGTTCAAAGCCCCCCCGCAAAACGCAAAAAAAGCAGCAGTAAGGAGGGTATAGATCTGGACGAGTTGAAAGTTCCCGCAGAGTGATTGGCCTTACCTACAGCTCGATCTTCGAGGGCAGATCCGAGTGTTTGTATCGACTTGTCGATGCTTCGACTCGCAGATGGGTTCACGATAGTAACATCTACAAGAATGAACTTGGTGCTGAGTTCCTCTTCTTTATCTCCTGCGTGTATTCCAGGGGGGATCACCAAATCCATCTTGTAGAGCCACTTTCTCTTACCAGTGCCTGTGGTAAATGAGGAATAGTGTTCAACAGCGATTGGCATATAGCACTCGCGTATTGTCTTCAATATTACACGAACCATCCTGTTGTGCAGGAAGGTTGAGGTGCCGGTCTTCGTCCATACCAGGGAGTGGGCTCGGCTCAACCGTTCCTTGCACGGTGGCAATGCACCCGCACTGCTAATGCTACCTGGTGTAATATTCGGTTCGACCGATAGATTCCCCATATAGGTCAGGCAGCATTCGTTCATCCGCTGAAAGCCCTTGCGTTGTCAGCCACGATAAAACTCCCTTGCCTTTTGCTTCCTCCAAGCAAATCAACGCCCTTTTCCTTGACGTTTACTTGGATCCTACCTTCTACAAGTCTGTCTCCACCACATGACGCACTGCCGCATGAAGAGGATTCGATAAGACTGCTTGAGCTCCAAAGACTTGGTAGTGCTGACCAAATTCATCTCGGCCGCATGTAGATAGTGTTAAGTCGTTCCTCATGAGGGTCGTCGCCCCAATTGTTTCTCCCTACCTTCCCAGCTTCCATGAGATCAACTCCTTCAATTGTGGGAGTCAAATCATCAGATGTGACCAGTTTAGCCCATGACTGACCAACAGCGTTTTCAAGCTTGTCTTTGGTGATAATCTACTCTAGCTTCGTGAGAGAGTCAATTAGAGCCAATCCTGTTGGTAGCTGTGCAAGTCGGGGCAGACATTGCTCAATGGTGTATGCTGTCCATGCTTGCACTGATCGCGTGTGTGTTGTGACCGACCTTTGCATGTGTGATTTGTAGTCGAAAAAAGTCAAATATCGCATGAAATAGTTTTTTGTAGGAAATCATAAAGTCGTCTCATTGGGATTGATCAGAGGAATCGTCTATGGCAGCACTCCATTTTATGATCGTATTGTTGTTGGAACTCATGTGTAATCGCAGTCGAATTGGTTTTCCTGATCCGGATTTAGATCGTTCATTCCTTAGTTTTTGTTTTCTTTTGCTTGGTAGAAAAACAAATCGCGCCTTGGAGGATTCGTTTTTCTGGTGTTCATTTTATGTTTTGAAGGTGTACCCCCCCTCCCTTTGGGGGCAGTCGGCTTGTGGCCACGGAAGGCGTCCGCTTCAGTTAGACCAGTACGGACATTAGAAGGTACTGAGCGGAGACCGGAACGGTTTCTTCATGTGAAAACAACTACAACACAACTCATCAATTTCGACTGTTTTCACAACCAATAAAAGGCTCAGACCAAATTCGGAGATGTATTCGAACCCGTTGAGATATTCCAAATTGGCACATAACACCACCCACAAACAAGCAAGCAAGGTTTTACCACTTTTTAACAATAGGAAAAGGGAACTGGCGTTCGCCGGTGTTTTTCGGATTCCTGAATACCACACCGAGAACAGACAATTTGTTGTCAATGGACCATATACAATCCAACATACATGCAAATCAGTAAAGCCACACGGGGCCCTTGGCAAAATGCCTATGCTAGTTCCTGGATCATGACCAGGTGGGTTCCGGTCTCTGCGAGGAACTATTAGGGCAGTGAGCTTAACATAGGGCCCACGATGACTCCCCCTCGAGCCCACTACCATTACGTTTCTCTCGCTAGACGGGCCACGCTTGACCAGCTCGACACTTCCTCGCCCATGTAACACCCAACGAACTGACGCCTACCTACAGTGGCGGGAAAGGGCCACGCTTCACCAATCCTTCGACTCCTTAGGAGCCGAGGGATTCATCAACAGGAATTCGGCGCAACGCACACCCGCTGGTTACACAAGCAACACGGTCAAAACGTACAGTAGAGAGTGGCAGCAACGAATGCGCGGCAACTTACACCCGCACAAACGGAGATACGTTGAGAAATCAAAAGACACGTTGCCCCCAAGTGCAATGTTTTATTCGGAAACCAGTCCTACCGTGATAACATCGATCATGTGCGTCAAACCCCGGGAGGCCAGTCACCAAACTTCCGAATGGGGCCTTGCATCTCATATGTACATGGATGCACTCCCCCGCATCGGGTTTGCTACGTGCGCCGAGGGCTGACGACATAGCGCAATTATTACATGTGACACTGGTGTTTCCTCGACCCTCGGCGATACTTGTCCAGAGATCCCGTGGAGATGGTAACGCAGAGTGCAGCTAGCCCTGGCAGAGGAGACGCGGCGAAAACAGCAGGGGCCGAGGCACAGGTGTATGCCGGGATCACGGCTGAGGACCTCAGGACCAAATGGCAGGAGGCGGTTGAAAAACTCGCGAAACGAAAGATCACGGTCGTAAACCCCGAAAATGCGTTGGAAGGAGCTCTGTCCATCAGGTATGTTGATCAAATAGCTCTGCGGGTTCGTGCGGCTTTGGCGAAAAATATTAGGTTGACCGGTGTTCACCTAACAGTTCTTGACAGCATTTCTAAACCTGAGGAGGGTGGGGTGTGTACCGGACCGGGGGCCAAGTTCCACCGCTCATGCGGATTAAAGGCTGCTAGTGGACACCGCATGCGGTTTGGATCTCTTCGGCGAATTCCGCCCCCCCGCCTCGTTTTCCGCTCTCCCCCAATTTTTCATTCCCGGCCTCTAAGACCCCGGTTTATGGGAACAAAATCTTGTCGATAAATCTTGATCTTGACCAAGATCTGCCAGTTTCACGATTTATGGGAGCGAAATCTTCCGATATATCTTGGCCAACATTTCTCGAGGCCCGAAATCTGCCCTTTCGAACAAATCTTGACCCAAGATCTGTCGAAAGGAGCCTTCCCACAAATCTTGAGGCGGCGTAACAAATCTTGCCTCAGCGCGGCGCGATCACCGAAGGTCAGTCAACCTATTCGTCCATAACGCCATGAAATCTGCACGTGGCACACTCGCAAGGGTCTCTAACGCACCCTGGCGTTACTGTGTCGGCGCCACGGGCGCCGACAGCGAACGAAAACAACCAAGGCGCGCGAAAAAAATGCGTATTTGCCCTGGCTCGTTCCACGTGCGTCATCACCAGTCTGTCAAGGGACCGTTCAAAGAGTACTTTATTTTGAAGTAGAATAATAGAGCAGGAGGAACGTTTTGCCAACACTGCTCTGTGGTGTGCGACGCTTCTATCTCTTCATCGAATAACCCAACAACCAACCCGTTTGCACCCGAGCCAAATCCGTGGGTGCAGATGACAGCGCCGGAGGCTTGACCTCGGTACGCCTGCTACATCGTGAGATACGTGCATGGGTGTCATCGGCCTCGGGTTGATGCACTTTCTTGTCAGTTGGACAGCAATGGAACAGTTTTGTTTCTCCACTTGACATGAGTTCGTGGGCAACGGATTCAATTTTGCACCCCAGGTAGGCGCCCATCGCTAGTATCCACCCACAGCGTTGAGGCAATACAGCTGGGGGAGGGATGCCCCTTCTACAACTGCGTCATGCTCACTTTTCGACACACGTTAGCATGTTCTGTGGACCAAGTGGCCGTTGTTCCTTTTTCAACTTCAAGCAGAAGAGAGGAACAACACGCCGCTTTTTCACATTCAAGATATTTCCCCCATAAAACGCGATACTGCATATCTTGGTGGAGATATATTGTGAGCAAATGTTGGGTCAACATGCCAAGATATAATTGCAAGATTATGTTTCCATAAAGAAGGGTCTAACTTTAAAACCCCAATGTTGACCGTTGACAGTTGGCTGGGTCGCCGTACAAGGGTTATGGCTAGGCTGCTGAACTTGTTGATGTCGGCGTGTTCCTTATTCGCCAGACTGATGAAGGCCTATCGGTTGTCAGGATCTAAGATAAAAGTGGCGCCGTTCGGTGCGGTCGATTGTTTACGGTAGCAAATAAGAAGAGTTTGAGCTCAAACATGGCTTTTCTCCCGTGTCACCAAGGCGTAACCACGCCCTTTTCTCTCAAGACCTCACATGATTCGTTAGTTCCTCCTAGGCGGTGGATCTGCTGACTGGCTTATTCACGCGTAAAACTTGTGCGTGCAGGGAGTTCGACGGATCTGTCGTTCGCCACGAGACGTTTGTCTTTCTGGACGTCGTTTGGCTGGCCAGAATCCTCAAACCTTTGCTGAATCACAAGGGTGAAGAGATATTCGACGGGCTTGTGAATCTTGGGGACACAGGCGACACGCGTCTCACCCTCGAGGACCCATTGGACATCGTTTCGTGGTTCAGGCTCAAGAGGGAGGGAGTGCTCGAACCCCGGTTAGCGCGTGCGATGTGGCCTCATGGTCTGTCCGAGTACGTTCTCCCCACTCTTGCGACCCTAGGTCTGGCGTTCCCACTCGAAGCCGATCGTAATGGGGGGCTTGTAGTTCTGCTACGGCTACCACCAGGCCGCCCCGAGCGTGTGGGCAAAGTGATGGACACATTCCACTTGGATCAAACCCCGGCCTTGTATGCGAGTTGGATTTTTTTCCTCGGGGTACCGGCTGGTGTGATTGAAAAAGTGTTGACACGGTGCTGCAGCCTCGGCGGCGTGCTAATGTTCTGGCGGTCTGGGGTGCTTGTGCATGGCCATCTCGGCGACCAAGATGGGAACGGAATATTTGCCGTGGTCTTGGAATACTCGTCCTCCGACAACGAACTGACGCTCAGATTTTCGGCGATATCAGCACTCCAGCTCCGTGGACGGCCCTTTGTTACGTCGCCTCGGCCGTGAGGTTGATGCTGCTGGATTTCCCAGGACTGTGCTCGAAAGGCTCTCTGAAGTGTCCTCAGCATGGCAACGGCATGCTCTTGACCGACACGGTGAGACCTCACACTCTTAGCGTATCCCTTAGATCTAACAGGGGTGTACTTCTGACCGCTTGGGGCGCACGCTTAATGGCGCAATCTGATTTACACGTGCCACCGTGCTGTGTTCGCGTTATTTCATGTCCCTGCCCTGAGGCGTGCTGGACTTTGGGTAGGTGTTTGTTTCGAGAACATTGGTGTACCATCTAGAACTGGGAGAATTGCAGCGCAGAACAACTCGCAGGTGGTCGGTTCCGTGGGCCAAAAGAATGGTTGCAGTAATTTCACCACTTGAGTTGGAATACTGGCACTTGTGGTGGCAGAACGAGAGGTACATGGCTGCAGAATCCGATTGTTGATTTGTTGTTTTGTTGTCGCGTTCCCGTGTACGTGTCGGCCGCTAGGGCGATGGCGTTCGAGGTACTTGTTTTTTTCTTGTGCTTTCGCGGCAGCCTGTCGTGTTCAACAAGAGCGATTGCTCCAGACATGAGCTCATGACCACTCGATTCGCCGATGCTCAACGCAAACATTAACGGCACTTCTGTGCCTTCCCACTCGCCAGGCGGCTCACCCGGGAGATAAAGTTGTGGACAGCAGAGGATGCCCACTCTGCAGCTCCGAGCTCGGGGGGCTTGGGGCCATGGCCAATGATCTCGTGCGCATGGTAGACATCCGGCTGGACCGAGGTATGCAACACTAGTGGGGAGGCTTAGTGAAGGACTTGATGTTGGTCTCCCTGCTGAGTGAGGCATCAGTTGTGCGCGTGTTCGATCGATGAACCCTGCATATCCCATATTTCCAGGAATCTTGCGGCTTTCGCCGCGCCACGCCCAGTAGATCAATAGCTTCCAAGGTAGCGTTCCTTTATCGCTGAGGGAGATGGATCGGTAATAGGTTGTATGGCGGCGTTTGCCGCCAAGCTCCATACAATACATCAATGCCAACGACACGATGAGTACGTAGCACTCAACATTCGTGGGACGCGGTAATTTTTTGTTTAAATGGATCGTACGGAGAGAAAGCACACGTGGTTTGCCCGCGATTTGGGTCAACCGACAAGTCAAGATTTACGATTTGCGTGTTGCGTCATAGAATAATAGCGAAAGGAAAAGGGCACTCGTGCAGCGAGGTATGTTCCACCCGGCGCGAGGACAGAGAAATTCCGAACTAGCACAACTGCGAGAGGCGAATACCTACTGTATGCATATGATACATATCAGGATACGACAGCAGCACTGACACACATGAAAAAGGGGGAAGCACAAGACCGTGACTCACATGTCCAATTCGATCGGCTAATACGGTCGTCACATCTCATTGTCGACTTTTGAGGCTACTACAATGCGAGTATCATGCGTCGCGTATGATAAAGATGTTGGTGGGCGCTCCCCGATTTCCGCCGCTCATTTTGTCGCCACAGGTGTCATTTTCCAAGAGGTCGAGGCAAGGTTCGTCAACCTGGAGCGTCAGTACTCCTTCCCTAGCCCAGTGGTGAGAATGCAATGCAGCTATTGCTTTTTGCGAAATCGGAAACGTCGAAAGAGGTTGGTGACAGTACGTTAGCCGCAGGGGCCCATCGTCATCAATTTCTGGTGGATTTCCGCGCGATGTTCGACCTTAAAGGACTGCTGTCCATATCATGGGTCGGGGGGACAAACCTTCGGTCCGCTCATGTCATTGGGCGATTCATGGGGTGTTGCCCGCCAGGACTGCTTACTTAACATCGACCAGATTTCACTGGACAAACGCCAAAATGCTCTCATCAAGCAAGTGCACCCATCATGCAACCCACACAAAGTCCGCTGAGGACGGGAGCTGTTGTTTCTACGACTTGTGGCCAAGCCGCCTTGCTCAGAGCAAGCTGAAAGAGTACAAAGAACGGGAAGGACTGGAGTCACATTGTCATTCTTGCCTTTCTCCATCCCTCCGTGCTCAAGCTTGCGGTAGTTTGCCAGCACTGAAACCAAAAGCATTGTGATGCATTGGAAGCGTTCATTTTTCATGTCGATGCCATTGAGGCATGTATTGGTTCAGCCCAGTCTACAGTATAGCCACCCTCGTCCAACCCGGCTCATGATTTCGCTACCCTTTTTGCGAGCGATGATTGTACTACCGGTTTTTGCTGGGGGGTTGCTGGGGGGTAAATTTGTACAAGAACCCGACATACAGCCGCTGGCATTGCGTGTGGTATCCCTGATGCAAAATTGTGTATGCGGCAGGCGAGCTCCGATGGGGAGGTGCTGCTTCGAAAAAAGATCGATTTGGTGGAGAACATGATGAAGGACAGGTCGGACAACGTGTTTGAGAGCACCCAGGAAAGCCTTGTGCGCCTCAAGAACTTGCAGGCCCCGAACTACCTATACCCTAACCTTGTGACAGTGGAGGAAGTTGCATCTGGTAGCACGCCGTCGAGGGCTAATGGGATGAAGAGGGTGCTGGGCAAGCTTCGTGGTGTAGGGAAGAAGGAGATGGTGCTGCACTTCTTGTGCCCGGTCGACATGACCAAGGTGTCGTGCGGCTACGGTGGCGAAGGCTATCGGTTTCTGGAGACGCGTGGGTGGGTCAAGAAAATAACGCCTTCGATACAGGTAAGACATGGATGTCAGAAGTAGCCGGTCGGAGTCGTCATATACTTCCGATTCCCTCCGTTCTCAGCCGAGGTCGCACTCCAAAGTAGAAATTGTCCCTAACAATACCTTCCAAGTTGTGGTATTTGTTGGCCTTGGATGATAAGCAAGGGTTGTAGGTGTGATTGCTTGAAACGAGAGAAGTGGTGACCTTGGAAGAAGGCAACGGGTTGTGGAGGATTGCTCGAAGCGTGATAAATGATGAACTGCGATGGATTTCTGTGCCGTCCGTTCTTGTGTTTGTTCCTTCCCAAGGTGGCCGTGGTGACCGCGAAGGTGGCGCTGAAGGCAATGGTAGGGCGCAACGTGGACATGTCGGATTTCCTGAAGGGCGTGAAGGACGGGTTGGTCGATGAACTGGTCGACCGCATTCTCGACGAGGAGGCGCTACTTCGTGTTGCATCGGGTGAGGAGAATGTCGGTGTTGACATGCAAAAGGATACGAGGGCCTCGTACGAAGCGCTGAAGAAGCTCATGGACAAGGAGCAAGTTGGCAGGCTTAAGAACGCCAGGGATGGTGATGGCTACGTCGACTTCAGGGACAAAATGAAGCGTGTTCCGGACTGAAGGGGGGGAATGGTATGGGTTCGAAATGAAAACGTTCAAAGGTGGTTGGACGCACATTCGAACGCTGCCCCATCGAGGTAGATGCCGGAGTATTGGAATATGCAGCTGTATCCACAGCTCACCACGTAAAATTTGGATAAGTCTGTTTGTGTTTTGAAATCTGTTTGGAATGAAGGGTACGGGACAGCTCGCCGTGAAGTAGTGGTTCGAAGCAAGAGAGAGGAACTGGTGAAGGCCTCGGCCTTGCTGCTGCTGTCAAAGAGAAAGGAAAGCCGAAGCGTGAACTGCATCCCGACGTTCTCATGGAGTGGCAGCAAATGCTGGCAATAGAGGCCATCTCGTTGTCCTCCCCAGGCACTACGCTGTCGATTTCATTTCTTGTCCGCTTTTCGGTAAGTCGCTCAAGGTATGTGTAGGTTATTTTTGTTCTCCGTGACGCGGATTTTGTAACCGAAGTAAAGCACCCCCACGCACGGCCTTGGTGGAGGAGGGTGGTTGCCTAGCCGCCGAGAGTCCGGCAGGAGAACTTCGGCAGAGTATGGGGTACGAGAGCGGCGCCTATCGTAGGCAAGGTTAGCCATTGAATCGTTTGCGCAGAAAACGGCGGGCACTCTCTAAAGTTGGGCTACAGAAGAACATGCGTTAGGCAGGTATAGGCAGGTATGAAAAAGCCGGGGAAATGCTCAAGTTTTGGGAAGTCATGACCAGCGGTGCCAGGCGAAATCACGCGTCTGGTAGAGAAGGCTCTTGTCCTGTGGATCTGTTCGGCGCACCGCTTTGTCTTCAGTGTCTCCGCAGTGGGGGGTAACATGGGTCTGTATGTGCCCCCCGTGATTTGAAGCGAGTGTTTTTCGCGAGTGTTGGCGTACTCCCATGAACCGGAGACATTGTTGGTTCCGCGAGCTTGGTTGGGTCGTACAATATCGACTATACGATCATTCTAACTTTGTGGTTTCCGAGGAGATGGGGTACTGCATGGACAGGATCCCGCACAGATAGGGTCGAGGGTCGCTTGTTCGTGGCATGGCTCGTAAGGGGAGCAGTGGGCTCTATTTCTTGGATGTAAGCAACGGGTTGCAACTGCTTGAAACGTGATAATGATGAACTGTAAAGGATTTCTGTGCCGTCCGTTCTTGGGCTTGTTTTCTCCCAAGTTGACCGTGGTGACCGCGAAAGTGGCGCTGAAGGCAATGGTAGGGCTCAACGTGGACATCTCGGATTTCCTGAAGGGCGTGAAGGACGGGTTAGTCGATGAGCTAGCCGACCACAGTCCCGACGAAGAGGCGCTACTTCGTGATGTATCGGGTGAGGAGAATGTCGGTGTTGACATGCACAAGGATATGAGGGCCTCGTATGAAGCGCTGAAGAAACTCATGGACAAGGAGCAAGTTGGCAGGCTCAAGGACGGCCAGGGATGGTGATGGTTATGTAGACTTCAGAGACCAAATGAAGCGTGTACAGGACGGGAGGGGGGGGATGGGATAGGTTCGAAATGAAAACGTCCAAAGGTGGTTAGGCTCCACTTGAGCGCTGCCCCATCATACGTAGCACTATTGCACAGCTTCATCGAGGTAGATGCGGGGACAGGAGTGCAGCAATTGCAGCCAACCGCCATGTTGTAGATGAAGCTGGTTGTTGTAGACTAGTACGAAGGGGACAGCACGGAGCGCTGTGGCACAACGTTGGTAAGCCGTATGAATTGCGGGGTATGGAGCAAGGGGGGTGTAGAAGGCTCCGGCCCTACTACTGCTGTGGAAGAACATAACGTGCTTTTCTTATTTCTCATGGAGTGGAGATGGTTATGCTGAGAAGCAAAGTATGACCACCTTCTATTGCCGCGTTGCTCTCTACTCGTGTAAGCCAGTTCACCTGGTGCTTACATCTTGGAGCAGTCTGTTTTTTTTTTTGCCTGTCTGGCCTTTTTCAACCCTCTGCTTTTATTGAACCATTCTTCCTCTACATTCGCCTCTACATTCGAATGGTGTTGTAGGGGTTTCCGAGTCATCGATGGCCCCCTGGGGTTTGCAAGAGGTTACAGGCTGCTAGGGTAACCTGGGCGATATGGTACACCCTGGTTGATACGGATACCACGGTGGCAAGTACGCCTTCCCACTCCCCCACCCCCACGAGTGCCGACTCACTCTACCTTCGAGACCACCACCCCACCCTAGTATATACTGGTACGTGTGGGGCGTGTATCTCTCTTTTCGGTCGCCATCGTCGTCGTTGTCTACTGGTGCGTTCGACTTCCCAGGTATCCGTCAAGACCTTTGCTCGGGCAGATTGTCCGCCATGGCAGCTCACACGTTCACGTCGCGCCGGCGATCCCCTCTCCACAGAGTCGTACGAAGCCCGGGGAGGGGGATTAGCCCTGTGTTTGTTTTTTAGTTGTCATTTTCTGTGGTTGATTCGTTGCCGTCCACAAGACGAACCCGCGCAGGAAGACCGTTGCGTTCACAACACATGCAAAGAGCCACCAAGGGAGGGCAAGAGTCGGGGTAGAAGTTGGAAGTGTATTAAAGAAGGCAAGAGGACAATAGAAGCTGACGCATGTGCACCTGATAGATGCATCCAACCAACTCCAAGCCTGACCTACGTTAGAACGTACGAACAACGCGAAAGCATCGCAGGGTTAGACTAATTGTGTCACTTTTTCGGAATCCAAAATCGTGAGACGTCCAAGGTGCTTTCTGTGGTCTCGCCGGAAGTGCGTGAAGAAGTTTGGCGCTGGGACCGTGCGTTCCCCCCTCTGAATGTATGGGTTCGTGCAGTTAACAGTTGACGCGCCTGCTTTTGTTGTCGACATGTTGCGAGTCCTGCTCGAGACTCCACCGTGTCCTTGTGATCAGCTCCCAGAATCCTCGTCCGGATTTCCAAGGCTGACTCAAAAAGCGCCGCAGCCGCATCATTCATCTGTTTGCGTGGGAAAAGGATAACCGATCGTGTGGGCTTCGACGGTAGAAGCCTTCCATTGGTTCCTCTGATGCGCGAAAGGCTAATTTTGCACGGGGCTTGGGCGTTTGGAAGAGACGTGTCGGCATGGGTTTTTTGTTGCACAAGAGTGATCGCTTCTGCAGTGCACACGAGTCACTTGTGAATATCGTTCGGGAGAAAATACCTCCGACTCGCCATACGGAGTAAACGTTTGTTCATGTGCGTCCAGACTGCCTGGATGTGCTGAACCCGTCACCAGGGCCTCGAAATATCCTAAACAATGATCAAGGCAGACGTGCCGAGTTGTCCAACAAGAGGGCATACAGAAAAGTTCTGTTTCACCTTTGCGTTATCTAGCAACCTCGCCCGGGTGTGGAATGACGTGGCCACCTTTGGATGGTCGTGGCCTAGAAGGTTCTCACGGATCTCATGCGAACGGGCGTACAACTGGATCGCCTCGTCATACCTCCCCTGTTCATCGCAGCAGTACAATCATGCAGGGCGAACCACATCACAAAGGAAAAGGAGCGTACGCAACGATTCTTTGAGCAGGCGGTCGATGCTTGCTCTCGTCACGTCCCGCACCGCTTTTGAGGTACACGAGCAAGCACAACAACACGAGAAGGAGAAAGCCCAAAGTCATGCCCATGCCCAAAGTCATGCTCATGCCCAAAGACATGCTCAAGCCAGCTACCAGTAACTGAGTCGAACCGTGGATCCCGGCAGCTGGCAAATCAATTGACGTTTTCATCTCTCTCTCTCTCTCTCTCTCTCTCTTTCTCTCTCTCTCTCTCTTGCTCACTCAAAACACACCTGCGTGTAGAACACTCCCGCCATGCTGTTGAGCGACTGTGCAACATCGGGGTGATCCGAACCCAGAACCTCCTCCCTGATCGACAGGGACTTCTGCAGGAGATACTCCGCCTCCTCGAACTCACTCTAGGAAGAGAATGGCGGTGCAGCGTAATTCGCACAACGTTCGCCAACAGACGTGTGCATTGCGAAATGATTCACTCGTCCGAATCGTTGAATCGGTAACCGACCAGTCCTGCTCCCGATGTTGCCAAATGAGCAGTGGGTTACACTTTGCCACTGATATTGATAGACTGCCTTTGCCAATGGGTCGTTAGTTGTCTCCGACTACCTTAAGCGTCATCGCAACTACAACGTACGTGTAGTTATTCCTGGTAACATTCTTCCCGCATAAATGTCTTCAGTCTGCTTTCGCCAAAACTATGCCTTAACGGGATAGGAGCCTTCTGAAACTGTTTCTCGTGCTCGCTCCCAGCCTGCAACAACTCCTCTGTAGGCAAAGCCTAAACGAAACCTATGGCGATACGAGAACCTAACGAAGGCCGCACCCGCGATGGCTCGCCTACCTTCATGTACAGCATGACCGCCCAGTCGTGCAGCGAAACGGCAACGTCGGGATGACGTGGCCCCCGAGCCCTTACTTTTATCGCCAGGCACTGCTCAAAATGACAGTCTGCCTCCTCGAAATTACCCTGTCAGGCAACACAACGCGCACGTCTCACAAACTATGCTAGGCCGTGGAGGGATCGAAGCACGACGAAGAGAGGCGCAAAGCCCCAACCACTCGTGGCAAATCTGCAATTTGAACCGCAAACATGGGAACCGGAACCCATCAAAATCAAATGGATACTACAGTGCAGCACTCACACACACCACTCGAACAATTATGCCTTCCAAGCACAGGGTACTAAATTGTGTTGTGCGCGAATCAAACGAAACAGATAACAGGAAACGGCAACAAAACAAGGGGGGACAACTTTATTTTCACCCATCGCCATTGTCTTCTTTCCTCTTGGGGTCCGCTCCACTCACCATTTTGTACATGAGACCTGCTCGGTTGTGGAGTGTCTGAGCCACATGCAAGTGATCTGGTCCTAGAGCCTTTTGCCGGATTGCCAGGGATCGCCCCAAAAGAGAGTTTGCTTCGTCGAGATAATGACCCTGCGAAACGTCAAGATGAGAAGCATGGGTGAGACATATGTAATCTGATTCGGAGACAAGAGTTGAACGTGTTTTAGTTAGGCGGTACTGTGGCAACCTCTTCCTGCGGAAGTACATGCGGATTTGTGTTTTCGTTCTGAATCTGAAGGCCTTTGGTCCTCATCGTTCACTCTCAATCGACACTTTGGATTGGCTCATGCACCAATTACCGCGCTTTCTAAAGGGTGCCGTGAACGGCCACCTCGAGGGTTCAATGCTGATGCATATCTTTGTCCACACCGCCAGATAAGGAAACTCCAAGCCCCGGATCAGGTTCTCGCCTGCTTTGTCATCGAGACTCCTAGGTTGCTTAGATCCTTCGCGACGGTCGGATGATCGCGGCCGAGAGTTTTCTCATCGCTGGCGAGGGCGCGACGATACAGGGGACCCGCCTCGTCGTACTTGCCCTTGCTCGCGGGTACGAAAAGAGGGGGGTCGCGGCGCACAGAGTGGCGACGCGAATTTTAGAGCAGTCATGGAGCGTCCCCAACCTACGCCCATTCTCGCACTTCAATATTCGCCCACCGCACACCACAAAGCTTGGATGAGCAGCAACATATCGCCCTTGTTTAGTCCCAAGAACATCTCCCTCGGCCATCGAGCACACGGTTCCCAGGGATAGTCATACCCCCAAGCGCAGTGTCAACGCGGTTAAGCAGCCCCTTTCCCTTGTGCCTAATGAAACGCACCTTAGCGCACCCTTTTCGTGCCACATAACTCCGAGGCACCCTCCGACCCTCTTGCAAGTTACCCTCCTCCCAAACGCACGCTTGAGCCCTTTTGTCAAATATCTACGTCCGTGGAAACGTGTTGTCACCTGCTGTGTCAACAGCCAAGCCCAGTTGTTGAGTGCGGCAGTCACTCTTTCGTGGTCCGGCCCGTAAGCCTTCTCAAGCATTGGGAGAGCCCGCCGGTACAGAGGATTTGCCTGCTCGTAGTTGTCCTTCGCAGCGAAGAGAGCAGACCAGCCGTAACGTCGGGACACGGGCGAGCGTACATGTGAAGAATTCTCGGTCAGCTGATAACGTGGCAGACCCAAGAACAGAGTACAACCACCGCTATCATACATTTGAGTAGGCCAAATGCTCGAGTACCACCGCAGATGCACCATTTTTACCTGGCGTCCTAGTACACCAGCAAGGTTGTCGAGTCCTTCAGCAACCTCTGGGTGACTTGGCCCGAGAGCTCCTTCCAAAATCTCCACGGACTTCAGAATTAATTCTTTCGCTTCGGTGTAGTGGCCCTTCAGCCGTCATAAAACGCAAAGGGGACAGCAATCGGAACATGAATATTTCATATTTTCCAGCGGTGAGCAGCTGAACAACGCATACACATGATATTCGTACATTCGTACCCGTGTCCGAGAGTGGGAAGCAGAGCAAGCTCGTCGCACTCACCTGCTTTTGAAGTAGCATCGCTCGATTGTTGAGTGTCCGTGCAAACGAAGGGTGGTTCTCCCCAAGTGTAGCACTCATGATGGCTTGCGCCCGCTCATAAACACGCCCAGCTTCCGCAAAGTTGTCCTTATAGCACGCACGGAATCAGAACATGGGCTCTAGGTCGGATCAAGAGAATGGACAAATGTGGGTACAAGCGACCGTCAGGTAATACGCGTAAGATATTGAACAGTCGAACCATTCACCACGGATTATCTATGTGATTGCTTGTGTACACCTCCGTCTGCCTACAACGGGCAACGGGTAACGACTTGATAAGCCCGTACGGCTGAAAAACTTCTAGCACACGCTGAAAGCCTCAAAGGCAAACATTTGTGACCAATGTGCCGATTGGCTGGTTTAGCAGCCCGCCACGCAATCGGGCCAGTTTCAGAAAGTGCTAGGCGTCTTGCTACCCGCTGCCCTTCCAACTGAAACGCTACGTTGGGTATCACCTGCTGCTCGCGTACTTTGGCGACGTTGTGGAGAATAGCGGCGAAACCCGGGTGTTTGTTGCTGACACGCATCTCGAATATCTCCAGCGCCTTCTGCAGTATGCCGTCGGCTTCTTCGTAGTTTCCCTGTAGGGAAGGGCGAAAACAGGTGTCAGCTCAGCGAGCTTCCCGTACGTTTCCACTGACGTTCTTTGCTCAACTAACCCGAAACCGTAGGCCTGTACTATTGAGAGGTCCAGCATACCTGGATCGAAAGTACTGCCGCCCAACCCGCGAGGGCTATTGCCACAGTGGGGTGGTCACACCCGAGGACACTCTCCATCTTCGCCACCGTTTCCCGATACACCTGCTCAGCCTCGTCGTACTTGCCCTGCCAAGAGCAAATCAGCAAACCCGCCAAACCACGGTCAGGAACCGGCACCCAAAAAACATGGAATGGGGACACCTGCGCGTTCGACGGCTTGCGCCCATGGCTCTCCTGCGGTGTAGAATATGGCGTGGAGGAGGGAAATTACTAGGGACGGGGTGAGTCACCTGTCGCGCCAAGAACTTCGCCCTGATATTCTCCGTGCGTACCAGCATCGGGTGTTCCGACCCATGAGCAGCTCGCAAAGTGCCTTGCGCGCAAGCAAGCAAGGCGTCGGCTTCCTCGTACTTACCCTTACAGGGCAGGACACAAAAATGGAGGACGAACATATCAGCAACCGATGGAGGTACAAGGGCATGACGTGATCTGCCTTGACACGACTACCCCTCGAACAACGACAGGTCTCTTAGACAACATTCTCTCGGGCAAGGCTGACTTAATTGTAGCGGTAGAAAACTCCGAAGGCCGTGTGTCTCCTCTCAGCGCAGTTTCCCGCATTATTCAGGAGTTCGGTGCGCATGCCGCAAATGTTTCCTCTCGGATTTTGTAGGCGATGCGGGCTAACAGTTCAAGTCGGCGAGGGACAAGGACAAGACACCAGAACATGCTTCATTAAAAAGCGAAATAATTTCCTCAAACCTGATTGTCAAGCGCCACAGCGCGGTTGATGTGCGCCATCGCGACGAACGGATGGTCTGCGCTGAGTACTTTTTCGAAAATGTCCACTGCTTTCCGGTGGAGCACGTAGGCTTTCTCGTGCTCAGCCTGCGCGTGAACCCAGGTGTGATTTTTTGCGTGCTAAGGGAGCTCCGACCGCATCCGATTCAACAAGCCCCAAATAATGAGACGCAGATCGCCGATCGTGTCCACTCCATTTTCTTCACAGACCAGGCACATCGGTTGACTCCAAAGCAAGCGTGATGGTCAACCAAACAATATCTGGAACAGACGATAAACCCCCAACTAGTTCAATCTCCCACACTACTGAAAGTTTTGCTAAACCGCCCATGAGACACCCATGGGTGACCCATGGGCCGCTCATGGGCACTTCAACCTAGAGCTTCGCCACCGGCATATCAACCTAGAACTTAGCCACCTGCACATCAACCTAGAACTTAGCCTCCAGCGACAACCTAGCACGTATCGTGTGGGCTTGGGGGTGGGGTTACGGTTAGCGTTAGGGATATTAGCCGCTATAGTGCCCGTTCCAAAGCAGATAATCTTTTGTTTAGGAGTACAATGGTTCTCTTGAAGGGCTCTCATTGGCCGCCTATGGGCTTCCCATGGGCTGCCCACGGGCTACCCACGGGCATGCCCATGGGTCACCCATGGGTCACCCATGGGCAACAAAGCACCCATGGATGGGTCGTTTGGGAAAACTGTAGAAAGTGTGGGAGACCCAACTCGTTAGGTTCCGTCCAACATACCTGGCTATCTAGCAAGAGCGCCGTACTGATGAGCGATGCCCCCACTTCAGGGTGGCCAGGGCCGAGTGCCTTTTCGCGGATTGCCATCGACTTCGTGAACAACGGCATCGCTTCGTCAAACTTGCCCTGCAAGGGCAGAATACAGACGCACGGATTGTCAAGGTTTACACACAAACTATCAAGACAGTGTCATCCCTGATGCTTCGGCAGTGCGTACTGTAGGTCGAACCTCCTGCTCAGCAATGGGACTACATGGGTAGCGTTTACCCCTGCCTACCATCAACAACGATAGGCTCTGTTGATGAAATCCACCGACAGCGAACACCAACTTCAATATCGCGCCCTCATGCTCATGTGGCCTAAATATTAGCCTTTGGGTCAAACCTCAAGAGCAAGTGGAACTGTCGTGGGCGATCTCATCACCTGTTCTGTCAAAAGATCTGCGTGGTCCTGTAGCGACCTTGCAACATCCGGATGATCTTTGCCGAGAAGATCCTCCCTGATCTTCAAGGAGCGCTGGAGCAGTAGAGCTGCCTTCGAATACTGGCCCTGTGGCGAGAGAGATGCATTAACGATGCACAGTTCAGCTCTCCCCGGTGCAAGGCCGTCACCGGATAAAAAGTAGGTGCCGCATCAAAGTACCTGCAGCTGTGAAGCGAGTCCGAGATTGGTGCTTGCTTGAGCTTCATTCAGCAACGAGTTCCTCCATTCCTCGCTGTTGGTCTCCCCTCCTTGCATCTGTTCTTTCGCTTCGGCGAGTAGCTTCAGCCGCACACGAACGAGGAGGTGGGAGAAGAGCGCAGGCAACCGGTCACAAGTATTTCGTGCGTGCGACGTCCAAATCCCTTGAGGTTTGCGTGTTGGGTGATGAAAAACATCTCTCATGCACTCATGTGCGGGAGGGTGCAGCAGCCACGCCGTAGGCGCGCACTACAATTCCTCCCCGAATCCACCCGATTGTCCTCTACATACCTTTCTGAAGGCCTCCTCAGCCTCGACATAGTTCCCCATATAGAGCTGCAGGGATGGGAGGACGTGCTCGGCTCCCGCCCAATTCACCTCGGCCAGCCTGATCATTTCCTCGAGGGTTTCGCTAGAAAGGTCGTCGAACAAGTATCTAGGATCGGTCTCGGTAGTTACTCGTAGCTCCCGCGCCCATTCGTACACCGTGTGTTGGCCATCCTTCAGTTCGAAGAACTCGCGGAGGTGCAACTGGATCTCACAAAGATGACCATTGACAACGGGGTTCACTTTCACATCCCGATAGCCGCTAGGCATCCAGTCGGAGCTGAAGCCGTTCTTCACCCTCAGAACATCTTGCGGCTGCGGGGAGAGGATGTTGTTGTTGTTGTTGTTGTTGTTGTCTTCACATTAAAAACCGTTCCGGTCTCCACTCAGTACCTTCTAATGTCCGTACTGGTCCAACTGACGCGGACGCCTTCCGTGGTCACAAGCCAACTACTCCCCAGAGGGGGGGGGTATACATTTCTAAAAAAACACAGAAACAAATTCCTCCAAGGCGCGATTTGGCCGTTAGAAACAGAGAGCCGGTGTGCGTGGTGATATCGATTACGATAGTTGCTAAACCTGTTGGGCCTTCCAGCATCCACTTCCGGCCATTTTCTGTGCGAATGTCCACCTCCTGGGGTGTGACAACCGTTGTGATATCGAACACGGGTGAGATTTCCGATGCGATATAGAACATGAATGGGTACGGTGGATTTCCTCAATCTGCCCAGACTCCGACGCGGGAAACAACCACAAGAGGACCCTATTTAGACCACGTCACAAGCTAACTGGTCGTGTATTGAACAGACATGTACAACAGACCGTCCGCAATCGGAGCGGCACCCCGATTGGGTACTTCTTGCTTGCCCAACCAGAATTCCCGACTATTGTCAAGGATCTGCGCTTGCATGCAAAAACTGAGCTTTCGAATCGTCTTCATTCCCGTGTCATACATTGAGGCGGGCCATCATGACCGCGTAGGCTCGTTCCAGATCTTCGGGTGTTCCGCAGACAACAGCAGCACGGGCCATGTCGGCAATTTTCCCCACGTTCCCGTTGAATCTTTCCGCCTTGCGTATGACACTATCCGGTGACTTGACGCCAACAAATCGGCCTTCGCAACCGTCGCAAGTCGCAACCACGTCCTCAATTAGCTTGTCCAGATGCGGTTGCGCTTCCTGGGCATCCGCAAGGTATTCCTGGAGGCTCAATTTCTTCGGCTGTTCCATGGGCTTGAATCGAGCCGCGGCCAGGTTATTCCTCCGCAGGCATTCAAGTTTTCCCCCTCGGCTCAGCGTGAAGTACAAGCGGTCATACTCCACTTGGTACTCTTGTACCCGTTGGACTTGGAGATACTTGAGAAGGTTGACCTTGGCATCACGATCAAGGGACGGTAGATTGCTTCGTATGTCCTTTTCCAGCTGGAGAAGCTCCTGGATATTATGCGTACATGTAGCTGCTGCACTGCTCATCATCGTGCCTGAGCGGAGGAGAGCACACAGCAGTAGTACTGAACAGGAAACCTGTCCCTGGCATCTAGAAGGTACGCATATGTTTTCAGCACTCCCGCACCTCCCCTACCCCCGCGCCCCCTCTGCAACTGCAACACCTGCACACAGCAGCACTGCTGTAAAACTGCTGCGAGGGGGTTGCGTAGATGGAAACAGCCACCAGCCGCCATGCCCCCGTGTTCCGTGTAACGGCCACAGTTTTTTTTTTTCGGTCTGCTCCTCCCCCGTTAATTTTAACCCGCGGGAGCTGTCCCCGGGCGGGAAAGAGGTCGCGCGTTGATTTTCTCCTCCCTCCTCCGTTTGGTGACTTTGAGGGTATGTAGTGTGCACGGCCAGCCTTACGCTATTATCGCCGTCGTCATGAATCGGTAAAAACCCACTCAGAAAAAAAACAACTGCTCGATATTTTATGTGGGAACACATTCATTCGTTCGTCCCTTCCTTGTTGGTTGTAATTTGTTCACTCCCCCATCATTAGACTTACAGTTCTAGCCTCCATAGAAGTGAAGTCTCTACAGTAAAGTTCAGTGCTCCCTGGGGACCGGCGGACGGAGCACAGATGCATACTTAAAGGAGGCTAAGCCGTGGGCGGTAGCTTGCTCCTAGAGATAGATGAATGTAGGTTCTGTCGTTGACACGCTTGTCCACGACGACCACGTTGAGATGGGAAAGTTGCTTGTTATTATTGCTGAGAGACGATCAGCAAGGAAGGGTCTGAGGTGAAGTGGGGATCCAACTTCACCTCAGGGGGTACGCAGACTAGACAAATTCTAAGAAGGTAGGTGTCTGAAGGGTATACCTCCGGGGACCGACCCACATCCTATCAACAAGAAGATGTACCCTATTTAAGCTAGCAGCCACACTCCTTAAATAGATACCAATTTGGAGCAAAGCGCAAATTTTGCCCCCGGAGAAACCCCAATCAATTTGCAATTAATAGGGGAGTCATGACGGGGTTCATCACGTTATTGTGCCTGGTTTACGTGCATCGTCATCAGCATGACCTCAATCGAGCACCTGGCTGTACAACATAGCAGGGTTTATAACAACAGGGGCCGAATTTTGTATCAAGAGTACGTACGGAGGCGAGGTCGGGGTTCCGTCTTGGGGTTCAACGCTCAGAACTAGGCTCAGGCTTGACGCAACGAAAGGACACGGTAAGTCTAATTATTTTTCCCATCATTTATTGGTGCACTCCCGACTCCCGACATATTCCAATTTTTCTCGAGCGTCAGTGGTGATACACCAAACACCCACCCATGATGTACATGCGTCCGACTGACTTACTGGTCGCGTGTTCGCTTTCTCCAGAAAAAAAAAAACATCCGACAGAAACAACGGTTGCCGCCAAGAGAGGGAAGGACGAGGCGGCTGTAACTCGCACTATCAACTTGGTAGACGTTTTTTTTTTTTTTTTCTTAGTATGACACAACGAATCCATCTCTATCATAGAAAAGAGTCTGAGACAGATAAGCAAGGAATTCATAGCGTCAGAAAGTACCTGTATGTCTACGGTTTCCCAGACAGCATATAGGGACATCTCCTCTGCGGGTAACAGGCTCAACAAGACAGTTTGGTAGCTGCCTTGTGTGTCTCATATATGTTATGTTGGGAACGTGCAGAGGAAATGTGTTAAGTACTGGTCGGGCGTTTTGTGTGTGGCACCCTTGTTTGTCTCTGGTACTTTCCAGGGGGCACATGAAGTAAAAGCCTTCCTGGTCCAACACACACGTTCCTGGTCCAACACACACGCAGACCACGGCAATTGAACCCCATCCTCCAGGTGGTGGATGGAGATCGTCAGACATTGATTGTTGGACACCTTTGCAAGCATGTGAAAAACAATCGGAGCATTCAGGAGAAAAAATGTACGATTCCCGGAACCTCACTCAGAAGAAGGATTTGAAACACGCATGGTATTGCATTTCTTTCAGCTGTCTCAGAATGATACCAACTGCGAGGCAAGCCAAGCCAGCGGGTTGCCTGGAAAATAGGTCGGCGATATCAAAACTGTTTCGGCGTGTGTTGATAGCCCTGATTTGACCGGTCATCCTAAGGCTATCGAAAACAAGAACCAACCAACATGAGAGAAAATCAACAAAAAACAACCGACAATTTCTATATATATCTTGACACGAAAAAAGCTGCTCTCCCCATCCATATTCGGCACGTTCGAGCTACACGGGGTGCAGCGTGAACACGTTTTGGAAGTGGACTCCTACGACGAGGTGAGCAAGGTTTCACAACCCATCCACCTACTCCCCCCTGTCACGCGCAACCCTGTTCCCGCCGTTCACGTACGTACGGTGTACACGTTGGCCTACGTATCTAGGGATGAACACGCACATTTCTTAGCTACAAACAATCAGGCACGATGCGGCATGATAAATTCCTTGTCAAGAACAAGCTGCTGTCTCCCCCCCCCTCTCTCCCTCTCTGTCAGTCTCTCTCTCTCCCTACCGAGAGGGACCATTCCGTGAGCAACTACGGCAACAGAACAGAGAATCCAGGTAGTAGAAATGCGTTGACAAATACGAACATGCCCACACTCCCTGCGCATACTGCCAAGTTAGTGTCCAACCCAACTTACCAAATCAACTACGGATGCCCATGCAGTTCGCGATACCCGAATAGTTGCCACACAAAGTACTGTTTCGCCCCCCCCCCCCCCCCCCCAAAAAAAAAAAAAAAAAAAAACGCAAAAGGGAGTTTCCAAAAAAAAAAAAGCGGGAAAAAAAAATTTTTGAAGTAAAACAAAAACCGTTTTTAACTTTGGCCCACAGCGCCCTTTCCTGGCAGCAATCCCGGAAGAAGGAAAAAAAAAAAAAAAAAACCCCCCTTTTTTTGGGAGGGGGGGGGGGGGCCAAAAAAAAAAAAGGAACCCCACCCCCTAAAAAAATCAAAGCTTAAAATAAAAACAAAAAAAAAATTAAAAATTTGGGGGCCCGGCCCGGGGCCCCAAAAAATTCTCGAAGAAACCCCCCCCCTCAGGCCCCCCCCCGGGGGTAGCCTCCATTTTTTTTTTTGGGGGGGGACCGGGGCCGCTGCCCCGGGGTTTTGGGGAAGCCCAAGCGGCAAAAGGGGGCGGTGGTTCAACCCGGGCCCCCAAAGGCCCGGGGGAATCCGGGGTTTTCAAAACCGAA